GCAGGCGGGCAGAGCCCGCCATTGGTGATTTTTTTCATCGCTGCAAGGGCTCCTAGACGGCGAGCGGAGCCCGCCAACTGAGCTTTACCCACTGCGGTTCAATATGGACAACCCATATTACCCTTGTGCATCATACGCTGTGCACGTCTATTTCCCAGATTTCAGCACAAGTGGCACACAGCTCTCTTTGCCCATGACCTAGCCCTCTTTCCTTCCCTCAGCAGCCCTCAAAGGCGTAAGCAGTTGGTCTGGGGAGCCCCGACATCACTTGCCAGGGCCGTATTGGCCCGGATCCCCAGACGGGCAGTAGGTGGCCCCCCTCGAAATTTCTTTAGAAATTTTCTAGTTTACTGTCTATTACTGATGTAATCGATTGGTGATCCTTAGAAAACATATTACCAATCTGATTGTATGATCAGATAGAATTTTCTCTGTAAAGAGTCTTGATATACTGTAATGTGTTGTGAACTTGCGATAAATAAACATTGATTTCAATTGTTATGAGTTGTGTATTTGTTTTTGTATCTTTTTTAAATAGAATTAATTTGGGCAAACTGAGTAACTGTGGCTCACCTGGGAAATCAGACCTTCACTTCATCTGTCCATCAATTACCCCTGACCCGGTAACAGGTTCTGTTCATTTTGGACCACTTTTGATAGATTCTGACCATTCAAAATTGAGGAAAACATTGCAAAATGGTTGGTTTTAGAGATGTTCTGACCAACTTTCCCTTTCATCACAATCTGGCCTGACCCTGGTCAATGCTTTTCGAATTCCTGTTATTCGACATTTTTTACTACAAAAACACACTTATAGACTTAAACTTTATTTATCTATCTATTCAACTTTATTTATCCCTTGGGATTACACTGCAAAAACGAACTAGAAATAAGTAAAAAATATCTTAAATTAAGTGTATTCACCCTTAATTTGAGTAGGTAAATGAGATAGTTTGCCAATGGAATGAGTATTTTTACTCTTAAAATAAGACAATCAGATAATATGCACTTGAAATAAGACAATGCCATTGTGTTTTCTAATTTTAAGTGTAAATTGTCTTGTTCCATTGGCAAAATGTTTCTTTTACCTCCTCAATTCAAGAACAAATGCACTTATTTTAAGAAAAAATGAAAAAATGACTTATATAGATGTTTTGCAGTGTACTCCTTCAGGGAAATTCACATGGACTTTAGGGACGAATGTGGTTTTGCAGCTTTAGTTTTGCCAAATATGTTCTAGCCACTAACAGCTGCCATAATAAGGCTATAAGTGCTATCCACTGCTTAATACCTGCTAAAACTTGTTTCACAGATTGAGTTGTTTTTGTGTCTCCATTGGATTATTTGCAAGAACATGATTCTGTATGGACATCTACACGGTAAAAGCAACTCAGTAAATCCAAGGTTCTGCAGATCATACCAAATAAATGATGAAAAGCTCTCACTGTTCTTCTTTTACCCTTTTTTAATGTTGGCAAGGTGTAGGTGTTCCAGCTGAATATCGCAGGTGATGCACCAATAAAGTTCCTCACCAATAAAGTTCCTCACCAATAAAGTTCCACACCTAATGTTATGCCTGACTGGTGCATAATTGTTGTTATAAAACTGATTACAAAACAGAATTGACTCCTCCTTCTTTTGGTTACACAACTTATCCCGGGTTTTGCATCAACATTCATATAAGGCTATAACAATCAGCAACTGTTTGGTCTAACCATTGTTATCACACGAACATGGATCTCCCTTACTTATTTCTTCTAGGTCAGGCCTACCAATAAGTTTTAATATTTTAAAATATTAAAAACTCTTTATATATTAATGAAATGTGATCAAATCAAACTTCTTTTTTGAAACCTATGTCTAAGTTTTGTATTTTATTAAAATGTTTTAATGTAGAGATATGTGTTTAGGGAAGTGTAAATAATTATAACAGTTTTTTATACTTTTGAAAACTTGAACTTGGATGTTTAATGAAAACACTAATAACAGGTAAAACAGCTCACATGCATGTGGAGAATGTGTTCCTACCAACTACTAACCACTTTCCATGTTAAACAGCATAGCGTTTAGCTTTTACTTAGCACAGTGCTAATAAGCTGATTTGTTATAATAACCATGGAGATGTTACTGCTAAATAATTGCGTATAACTGAAACAGGAGACAGAAGCTCATCATGGAGATGATGCCAACCTTGTTTTTACCTGGCATTTGTGTCATTCAAGTAATTTCTTTGGAGTCATTCCCATTGTTAAAACTAAGTACCTTATCAAGGTGGCAGTTTCTGACCACGCAAAAGAAAAAAGTTTATCATTTACACTGCATGACTGATTGGAGCTTAACCCCGACAATGTTGGATCCAAAGTTACGCCCTTGGATGATGCTCAGTTGTACTATCTAATGACGCAGAGTAAACACAGAGGCGGAGTTGAAATGGTAAAGTATGCATCCAATTTGTAGTTTCCACCTCAAACTTGAACAAAAAGGATTTGTCTACTTTATTTAAGGACACAAAACCTTTAATCCCCCACAGGACATCTTAACTCCAATTGATACTTTAAGTGGAATTTTTTTGTCAAAGTATTTTATAGCTGCCGAAGAGTTTAGCTGAAACTCGTTTTGTTTCATTAAAGTCCGAGCATGTTTTGATGACTGGATCACACCAAAATTAAGTATTATTTTTACATTTTATTTCAAATGAACAGAAACAATTGTAAACTATATGTGGTGTTGGATGGCATCTTAGTTAAAGACATTAAAAAATATTAATTTGAATAAGACATGCTGAATGCATATTTAAAATGTTATATTAAAGATCCTTTAAATAGGTTACCATTTTTGCAATTATCAGGCAATTTTTAAAAAATTGGCTTTTTATTTCCCTGAACCCTAACCTAAAAACAACAATACCCAATGTCTAGTCCAGGGCCCCAAAATGAGCAGTTGGTCCCCCACATGTGCCATTTTCCAATGAAAAGTGTTCGTTTTGGTTTTTTTTTTATAAAAAATTTGAGCATAAACACACACGTATATGTATATATATATATATATATATATATATATATATATATATATATATATATATATATATATATATATATATATATATATATACATATCAGTGGCGGCTGGTGAAAAATATTTTTGGTGGGGCTGATATAGCCTAGTGTATGTCTCCAACTAATCCGGAATAAGAATTCAAATAAACAATTGGACAATACATACAATTTAACAGTAATGATTTAATTTACTATATAATAACAGTAACAGTGATGATTTGGGTCACTGTGACGGGGTTCTTTGGCCTCCAAGAATCCAGTCTCAGTCGGGTTACCGGTGTTGGTGATTTATTGAGCTCAAAAACTCCAAACAGGGTGCAAAAGAAACTAAACATACAAGATACTCTGGGCCTCAGCCTCCCTCCAGTTACCAGCAATGTAACAAAGAAATAGAAAACAAAAATTGCCGCTCTTCTTCCCACAGCCCTCATTCAATAGTTTAAGCCCCTCACATCAGGCTCTCTTATTTCTGATTTCTTCTCATTAATCAGTTTTGTCCATATATTACCTCCACAAACAATTGATGTACAAAAACAAATAATTTTTACAACTTAATTCTTTTACACAGATTCATTGACTTATTCAATTACACCAAACTGGGTTTGAACCCAACAAAGACGCAGCCAGACTGAAGATGACAAGTCCCCGTAGCACACACACACACACACACACACACACACACACACACACACACACACACACACACACACACACACACACACACACACACACACACGGCTAACCCCACTGAAATATTAAGTGTGCACCCTCAATATGCCAGCAGGTAACCAGGAACAGCTTGTGTGTTTTAAGTTCATGGAGCTACTGGTCTCAGCGCGAGTGTATTGGTCCTCACAAACACAGTATAACAGGAATGTGTGTGTGGCGCGCAAAGTTAGAGAGGTTATTTTAAGTGACGAGGTGGATTCGTCACAGTCACAATAACCATGACATGAAATGTTCATATCCTACAACAGGGATGTTCTTCTGGCAAACGGGTAGATAAATAAGGATCTCACCGAATTTGGTGGAAGCTGCATCTCGGTCGTTACATTCGCCATCTTCCCTCTAATTGTCTGCACCTGCGCTTGGGTTCAGAAGCCTGTTAAAGCGCAGTATTTTCAGCGCCCCAAGACCATAAAGTTCCGAGACGCTGATTGGCCATTAAATTCACCTAGCAATAGTACATGATTGACAGATTCTCTGCAAATGTGGGGCTGTCTGATCAGCGCCCCCAGAACAGAGACGGTAGGAGTCTGTCTGTGGAAATCCACAAATGAATGACAGTAGATAGGGAAATGTAGTTTATATAATTTGTTTTGCTTATAGGTACACAGTCTAGAGAGTAAAACTGACATTTATGAGTTAATTTCTAAAAATATATTTTACGTTTCTCTCTTCTTATCAGGGAGGGCGGTGCCCCAGCGCCCCCTATGGGCCGGCCGCCACTGATATATATATATATATATATATATATATTACTTAATACTTTACTTAATGTTAACGAAAATAATATATATATGATTTATGTCACCCTTTAAAATAACATCGTTTGAACATAACTTTTCACTTTAAATATTAACTGAGATGTTCTGGTCGGTTTGCCCACATGCAGTCTGTTTAATTTTGTTTTGTTTTATTTAACTTTCACTGGCATAAATTATGTTGAAGTAGCGCATTTCTCACTTGAGTACATTTTTTGATTATCTACCTACCTCTTCAAAATATCTATTTTCCTTGAACAGAATGTAGCGGATTAGTCCTTTAGTTGGAATAAGAAGCGAACTTCATCTTTTTAAAGAAGCCTCTGTCGGTAGCGGAACCGCTAAAAGAGTTCCGGGTCTGAACATTAAAGTTTCATGTTTTTTATTTTCACTCCTTGTCGTGTTTCAAAGCGCCGCTCGGTGGCAGAGAGAGCAGCTCCACCGACACACTGTGGGTGCGTCGGTTACGAAAGCGGAAGAAGAGCGTCTGGGCTGCCGTAGTTAGCTGCCTGTGGGTTCGGTTCGGTTCTCTCCTTTCTCGCCGAAATGCCTTGAGTTCCTCGAGATTACGCTGCGTGAACGAGAACACGCAGCTGCGGGTTTTGCTGCTCCGCCTGTCATTCCTCAGACGTGGACCTGAGGAGAAGCGAACCGTCCTCACCGAGGGAGCGGCTCCCTGGGCTCCCCAACGACCCGCCGAGAAATGCTGGTAGAGCCGAGCCGCTGAGGGAGACCTGTAGACCGGCTTGGAAGGAGGCTTCGCCAAATATAATCGGTGTCAGACTAAAAACATGCTGGCTGGTAACAGGTACTGGAATCACCATTGATCACATCTGTTTGGGCTGCAGCATAACTGCGTTAATTCTCGCTGTGTTCAGATGAGTGGAGCGAGTCTGAGTTGGTGTTTCTATTTTTGGCTCAGCCTCCTCCCATTCTGCAGTATTCTTATCAATCTGCCTTTCCTATTTCCACACAGGAAACGACACCGGAGCTGTGACAGCGCTGAAGACCGACAGCTGATCCCTCAGGCCAAGAGGTCAGGAGGAGACCCCAGCCTGCTGCTGTCAGACCTGGACTCAGAGGTGCAACATTTAACCTTAATCCACAGGACCTTGCACTATATTTTACACCCATCAAGATTATTAGAAGTATACATAAAGTCCACAAATATGCAGCGGCGTAGCCAGAAAATGATCAGATGCAATAACCACTTAGGGGTGGATGAAAGTGGAGAGGGGCCACAAACTCAGGGTCCATCTACACTGTTTCAACAGGAAAATTAACCAGCACAACGTCCATGTTTACTAATTAAAACCATTTCCTACATCCTTTGCTAATAAATACACGCATATGTAAACATCTGTGCTTTCTAGATTAAAGGTATAGTGGATAAAATTGTTGTTACCTACCTACTTATATCAATAAGCATTCTGCATTAAATTGATATATAAGTGCTGATATCTACATAAATTGATTATTTAATCTGTTTTTATTAAAATAGTTATCTGTGATTTCACTGAAGACTCATCGATGACTTGCAGAGACGCATCATTTTCTCTTTACTCCATATAACACAATATCTAGTTTTTAAAAAAGGGCATGAATTCTGTCCTTATCAACTTTAATGTTAGTATATTGATAATGATATAATGATAATGAACAAGTTATTGTTCATATATGAAAAATTACAATATTTTGAATATTCCACTTGAGACTATTACTGCTGCCACCATCTGTGTTTGAAGGAAAAATAATGGTGGGGTGGCCACAAGGGTTGGCTAATGATTGGCTGGCCCCCCATCTAGCTCCGCCCCTGCAAATATGGTTAAATAGTTTTTTACAGATTGAAATGTTTACTCTGTACTTTATCAAAATTGTTTCTTCAATGAAACAATTTATCTTTATCAGTTTTATTGATTTAAAGAATTACATTTTTGTTCACTTATCTTTTAGTAACTCTAATCCAAAAGTATTTCCTATCATTTAATTTAGAGCTGGACTTTGACTGGGCCATTCAGGCCCAGCAGCATGCCCTGATCTAAAGCAGGGCTCTTAAACTAGTAGTTGATTTATTATTCTTATTTTCTAGACTAATAAGATGTTCTTGGAGGGAGTCTCACTGCAGTAGATACCCACACCCAGGCCCAGCACAGAGGGGGGCCCAGAATTGACTCTGATCATTAAAAATACAGGAAGAAGTCATTTTTCAGAAAATGTTTCTGATTAAAAAAAATTATATTAGTGTAACTAAATGTATGTATATATCTGCATTAGTTATATGTAATAGTTTTCTTTAAATAAGGGGCCATTAGAACACCCCCTACCTTTACATAAAATGGTTTGACCAAGACAACAGCGGGCTGCAACTTTTAGAGTTCATTTCTCTGCAAACTAAGTATGTGAGGTTTTCAGAAGTCCAGCGCCCAGAAAAAAAAGGGGCTCTCTGCCCGATCAGAGAGTCTGAGCATAGCGGCTCAGAGACGGATCACACCGATAAGTTTAGTGATCCCCCGCTGTGGCCAACAGATTCTGATCCTGTAAATGTATAGAATAGCATAAAGGGAGTCTTTCTCAAAGATGCCAAATGAACTGCCTGCAGGTTTAGAGGGCAGAGAATTTCTAAACTATCTAACCTAATGTTCCTCTCACACCGGCCAAAAAGACTGTGTTATGCCAGGCAATAGCAAAGCTGTCAGATGACCTGCCCACACATAACAGATTACAATGTGAAACATCCTAAAGTTCCCAGAGAGGGCTGATAAAGGAAGGATTTATTCCAACCGATGCAGTCATTCCCGTTTAGGAATAGCTGTATAAAGCGCATCATGAAGTACAAATGTTCCAGGTTCCTGTCCTGCTGGAAGATGAACGTCTGCTTCGGCCTCTTAAAGGTCTTGTTCCTGGATTAGCCTGTCTTTAGCTCCTCCCATCTACCCTGAACGGCTGTCCTGTCCCAGCTGAAGACAGGCGTCCCCAAGGGAGGGGGCTGCTGCCGTGTTTCACAGTGCAGATGGTGCGTTCAGGGTGGTGCTACCATGTTTCACAGTGCAGATGGTGCGTTCAGGGTGGTGTGTTTCACAGTGCAGATGGTACGTTCAGGGTGGTGCTACCATGTTTCACAGTTCAGATGGTGCGTTCAGGGTGGTGCTGCCATGTTTCACAGTTCAGATGGTGCGTTCAGGGTGGTGCTGCCATGTTTCACAGTGCAGATGGTGCGTTCAGGGTGGTGCTACCATGTTTCACAGTTCAGATGGTGCGTTCAGGGTGGTGCTGCCATGTTTCACAGTTCAGATGGTGCGTTCAGGGTGGTGCTGCCATGTTTCACAGTGCAGATGGTGCGTTCAGGGTGGTGCTACCATGTTTCACAGTTCAGATGGTGCGTTCAGGGTGGTGCTGCCATGTTTCACAGTTCAGATGGTGCGTTCAGGGTGGTGCTGCCATGTTTCACAGTTCAGATGGTGCGTTCAGGGTGGTGCTGCCATGTTTCACAGTGCAGATGGTGCGTTCAGGGTGGTGCTACCATGTTTCACAGTGCAGATGGTGCGTTCAGGGTAGTGCTGCCATGTTTCACAGTTCAGATGGTGCGTTCAGGGTGGTGCTACCATGTTTCACAGTTCAGATGGTGCGTTCAGGGTGGTGCTGCCATGTTTCACAGTGCAGATGGTGCGTTCAGGGTGGTGCTACCATGTTTCACAGTGCAGATGGTGCGTTCAGGGTGGTGCTGCCATGTTTCACAGTGCAGATGGTGCATTCAGGGTGGTGCTACCATGTTTCACAGTGCAGATGGTGCGTTCAGGGTAGTGCTGCTATGTTTCACAGTGCAGATGGTGCGTTCAGGGTGGTGCTACCATGTTTCACAGTTCAGATGGTGCGTTCAGGGTGGTGCTGCCATGTTTCACAGTGCAGATGGTGCGTTCAGGGTGGTGCTACCATGTTTCACAGTGCAGATGGTGCGTTCAGGGTGGTGCTACCATGTTTCACAGTGCAGATGGTGCGTTCAGGGTAGTGCTACCATGTTTCACAGTGCAGATGGTGCGTTCAGGGTGGTGCTGCCATGTTTCACAGTGCAGATGGTGCGTTCAGGGTGGTGCTGCCATGTTTCACAGTGCAGATGGTGCGTTCAGGGTGGTGCTGCCATGTTTCACAGTGCAGATGGTGCGTTCAGGGTAGTGCTACCATGTTTCACAGTGCAGATGGTGCATTCAGGGTGGTGCTGCCATGTTTCACAGTGCAGATGGTGCGTTCAGGGTGGTGCTGCCATGTTTCACAGTGCAGATGGTGCGTTCAGGGTAGTGCTACCATGTTTCACAGTGCAGATGGTGCGTTCAGGGTAGTGCTACCATGTTTCACAGTGCAGATGGTGCGTTCAGGGTGGTGCTGCCATGTTTCACAGTGCAGATGGTGCGTTCAGGGTGGTGCTGCCATGTTTCACAGTGCAGATGGTGCGTTCAGGGTGGTGCTACCATGTTTCACAGTGCAGATGGTGCGTTCAGGGTGGTGCTACCATGTTTCACAGTTCAGATGGTGCGTTCAGGGTGGTGCTACCATGTTTCACAGTTCAGATGGTGCGTTCAGGGTGGTGCTACCATGTTTCACAGTTCAGATGGTGCGTTCAGGGTGGTGCTACCATGTTTCACAGTTCAGATGGTGCGTTCAGGGTGGTGCTACCATGTTTCACAGTTCAGATGGTGCGTTCAGGGTGGTGCTGCCATGTTTTACAGTGCAGATGGTGCGTTCAGGGTGGTGCTGCCATGTTTTACAGTGCAGATGGTGCGTTCAGGGTGGTGCTGCCATGTTTCACAGTGCAGATGGTGCGTTCAGGGTGGTGCTGCCATGTTTCACAGTGCAGATGGTGCGTTCAGGGTGGTGCTGCCATGTTTCACAGTGCAGATGGTGCGTTCAGGGTGGTGCTACCATGTTTCACACTGCAGATGGTGCGTTCAGGGTGGTGCTACCATGTTTCACACTGCAGATGGTGCGTTCAGGGTGGTGCTGCCATGTTTCACAGTGCAGATGGTGCGTTCAGGGTGGTGCTACCATGTTTCACACTGCAGATGGTGCGTTCAGGGTGGTGCTGCCATGTTTCACAGTGCAGATGGTGCGTTCAGGGTGGTGCTGCCATGTTTCACAGTGCAGATGGTGCGTTCAGGGTGGTGCTGCCATGTTTCACAGTGCAGATGGTGCGTTCAGGGTAGTGCTACCATGTTTCACAGTGCAGATGGTGCGTTCAGGGTGGTGCTACCATGTTTCACAGTGCAGATGGTGCGTTCAGGGTAGTGCTACCATGTTTCACAGTGCAGATGGTGCGTTCAGGGTGGTGCTACCATGTTTCACAGTACAGATGGTGCGTTCAGGGTGGTGCTACCATGTTTCACAGTGCAGATGGTGCGTTCAGGGTGGTGCTACCATGTTTCACAGTGCAGATGGTGCGTTCAGGGTGGTGCTACCATGTTTCACAGTGCAGATGGTGCGTTCAGGGTGGTGCAGTTTTTCTCAGTGCGCAGGAATTTCTGTGCTTCAGCTTAAAGAACACTATTATTTCCAAACTGTCTGTTTTCATGGCTTCCAGACTAATGTGTAATTTCTGGTCCTGACCCATAAAATCCTGGAATATGTGGAACCATTAGGTATTAAGATGTATTTTAAACTTGGGTGAATAATTTTCTTGGTACTGTAAATATGATCCAATGTCCTCCTTTTTGAACCAGACATGTAAGGCTTTTGTTTGCTCTGCTTTTTCCAGTGAAATCTTTGCATGTTTTATTGAAAGCACATCATATATTCCTCTCTTCTTGCTCTCAGTCTTCCAGCAGCGACAGCAGCAATGGAGTCAGCAGTCCAGAAAGAGCATTAGAGGCCAGCACGAATCCAGGCGCTCACCACCAGCAATACAGCTCTAGAGCGGAGTGCGAGGAGTCTGCCAGCTCCTTTCAGCACTGTCTCCATGGCCATGGGCAAAGCGCCTCCTACGACTACATCAACAGAGTTCTGCGTGAGGCGCACTTTAGCAGCCTCCAGACCAGAGGGTGCCCCGGCTCCACGTGACCCCTGACCTCTTCTGTCGTCTTTCAGCGTTGATTCTGAAGCCTCCCACATGATCACAGCAGTCAGAGGGGACTTCAGAGGCACCTGTGGGTCTAATGTTTGGTTTATCATTTGTTGAGACCATAAGCACATCCGCCTTTCCATGGCCCAGCCACTGTGTTTTCTTTTTCCTGTGCTGTGTTGATGTGTCGGTGGGAGTGTGTATATGCACCCTGTGCACTTTATCCAGGAATTTCATTCTTTTTACATGCGTGCATCGGTGCATGGATGTTTTCCATTGGTGCTAATGACAACAGAAGTGCGACGATCCAAAGTGCTTGTGAATTTAAATAAAGTTATGCACTTTATTCCAATCGTTAATGACTTATGAAGTCAGTCGTCTGATTCTAAAGAGGAAGCTGTGATGATTCCCTTAAAATAAGAGTGTAAAGCCAAACAAAGGCTGGTTTTAGATCTTCATGGTTTAACTTAATGGCATGGTGTGAGTATTTACACAGAGGACAGAAATCAACGTGGAACATTAGCTAGACGCATTTCAAACAGAAAAGATTCCTTTTTTTAAAATAAAAAAATAACATTTAATCTTAGTTATGAAGTTATTACATGTATTTTGATAAAGATAATATATATTATATTATATATAGATATATATATAATATTATAATAATATATATTATATTATATAGATATTCCTAAAACATTTTCTTACCTCTGAATTATTTCCTTTCCAAGAGAACGTGTATGAGGCTTTTACAGCCAGCTGAGTGGCAGTGGGCAGCAGCAGCCTTCCATAAAGGCAAAAAAATTAAATTATTCCAGCACTTTCTGTGGTATCTCAGGAAAAACAACAAAGCCAAAGGTTTGTGGGTTTAGAACGGGAACATTTGAGATAAACCTGATATCTGAGTCTAGCATTGTTCAAACTCTCTCAGGGAGTAAAAGAAAAATGATACTTATGCATAGTTCTGTTAAAGGTAAGCTCTGTCTACACCTTGGAGCTCTATCTCTCCAGTTCTTTTCCTGAAAAGAGATCACTCGGGACAAACTCTTTAAATAACACTTCACCAGGAGACATGACAACAGATTTTGATAGAAATTATAATCTTACTCAGATTAGAGAAGTTGCCTAGGCTTACAGAAGACAGCTGCTTACCAATCTGGCTCACATCTCAGGAAGTGTTTACAATTAACAGTCAAAGAAGCATTTTATACATCACCAGTCTGCTGCATCATTACATCATACCAGTTAGCAGATGAGGAGACATCCATGGCTCCAGCCTTATCAAAATATTACACTTTATTCTTAGCTGAAGGACGCCGCTCTCATTCCATTCCCAAATATTTGCCACGTACAAAATGAAGATTCTAACTACGCAGACCAAGGAACTGACCAATCAGAGAAACTACTGGAGAAAACATCAGTTCTGACACGCAACGGGCAGCTGATATTAAGGTGTAAGAAACTGTATGTAGCAGTGAGTCAATATGCTTTAGGCTCTGCTGCTGGTAGCTGCACAGACATGCTGCTTGTGGCCTCAGGCGTCCTTTTAATACAGCATTACATTAATAAAGTGACGAGTTAATCTTCACTGCAAGGATTATCTATTTTTTTTATCTTAATTTCTTTCTTTGCTGCAGAGGAAAGAGTAGCAACTTTTCAACATTGTGAAACTCCATGTTACCTTTTCCTTCATGCAGCTAAAACCTAAACTGTAGGAAGATTAAAAAATGTAAATGTTATGGAAAGCATAACATGCCAAAACTAGAGATCAGCCGATTCAGTTTTTTTCTTAAGGCCGATACAATACCAATTATTCTGACATCAGATAACCCATGCCTGATATGTACTGATATTTTTGGGCAGTTTCTTGTTTTTTCTTTCTCCATTAACTCTATGGAAATGGATTATTGATAAATGTTAAACAAGACTCAATTTAAGCAAAGACAAGTTTAAAATCAAAATATTAAGAACAGACAGTAAACGAAGGCGTGATTGCTGAATGCACCATTGAATCAGTGAATGCATGTATGCATTGGCTTATATGTAAAATATATAGCAATAATCAGTCTGATAAAAACCATGTATCAGTCCATCTCTTCCCAAAACTCCACCGCAAAGCTGACGTCTTGATAAATACTGGCTAATCAGAATAACCAGATACATTACAGCAACCTAATAATGTGTTTAGATCTATGTTTTTCTGCATCAGCGTTTTGCATGAACCGTGAACACGGCTTATTGCTAGATATGCTTCAGAAACGTTTAACTCAGTTGGGCTTTGGAAGAAATAAACAAACGTTTTAGTTGTGCTGCAGCAAAACTACAGCATGTTTTATTGTTCAGCAGCATTTTGGAACTGAAAGTTGCACCTGTAGTCCCATGAGGATGCCGAAGCTGCGTCAAACACTTCCCCGTCAGATTATACACGATAAATCTCACAACAATTCATTCCACCATTAGAATCACTATTTCAAAATTATGCACATTTATGACTTTTTAATTAGGACTAAACAGACAAGATATTTTCTCCAATCTACATAACTTATTACCAAAAATAAGGAAGACATTTCTTTGAGTTTAAAAGAAGGTAGCTGTAGTGCAAATCACAAACAGGGATTTCCCTTTAAGTCGACGACATGCAGCAGAGGTGTAAGTTGTTATTTCCAAAAATATAACAGAAAAGTAGTGGAATCCTGAGATAAAGAAAGCAGCAGGTCTGCTTGACATGTTTCATTAGTTCCCAGCTGGCTTTATGGCTGGAAAACTAACTTCATTATTGGAGTATCTGTTCCTGCGCTGCTGCCTTCATCACTGGAAGGCAGCTTAAGATCCTGCTATTCTCAAAACCTCTGATGCTTTGATTCCTGTAAAATATAAAATGTAACATGCAGAGTTTGCAGATCCTTGTCAGGACAGACGTGCTTTCTGCAGTTTTCCAAACTCAGACTCCTGGTGGAAGCTGTTGTCAAAAGCAGTTTTTTAAAGGAAACAAGCCTGAAAAATGTTAATCTGCATCCTTTACCAATCAGGCGTAACAATATGACCCCACCAAGATGTTAGCAGCAGATCTGTTAAGGCACAGGAGTCCAAATACAGTCCTTAAAAGCTTATGTCGAGCTTACAGATGTTTATCTGCTTCAACACATCTGGAATTAAAATGTAGGGTCCTTAAAAGGACACTGAAGAACTTAACTATGATGTAACTAAAGCTTTTCTTTCTGGTGCGTTGAACCAGGGAAACATCCTCGTTAACTGGTTCAGGAAAACCAGTTAATCTGGGTTTGAGACAGCTTCCTTAGAGGTATTTGGAGCCAGAAAACTATAGAATCTTTAAAGAGAAATAAATAACAAGTAGGACTTCTATGTATATGTGACTCTAAAGTGCAATAAAACAAAACAAAAAAACATGAAGCACTTCCATATATGGCCTGCTCCTCAATGGCTGCAGACAGAAAATGGATTTTCTGACTAAAAGGGACGAACATAGGTCAGTCCGCGGCTGCGAGCAGAGAAACAGCCAGATCAATAATGAGCCTGTGGCACAAAGTTTACCAGGTAGAAAATTTATTTTTATAGCAACTTTTACTTTTTATGTCCTGCTGGTATAAAACATCTAATGCCTGCAGGTTGCATCAATCTATTTCCTCTGTGAAGCACAGAACATGTGATTGTAGCAGCTCTTCCACCACCTCACATCAACTAAAAGACACTTTAGAGCCAATCAATCACATGTGGACCACAGCTGGACTGAGAGTTCTGGTGGCCTCCATAGACTGCAGTTGGTCCAGGAGTCCAACAGACCCTCCACTGGATTTAGACCTTGAGAAGATTAGAAGATTTAGGGTCGGATCATAAAGATGAGCCTTAACCATCAATGGGTGGGTCACTGGACCACACCTGGGGAAGGGAGAAGAAAGACACTCTGCTCCAGCTGGCTAATTGATTTCCTCCTTGAAATCCTACTTTATCACATTTTCACGTTTTCATATCACAACTTTAGGTACCATGATGGATGATTTCATATGAGGTGGTCATAATGTTATGCCTGGATGTTTTTTACGGCAGCTAAAATACCACAGATCTTTAGTGAAGAGGAAGTAGAGGTGACATCTTTCTATAGCGGCTCCTGATCCTCAGATTGCAGTCAGGAGTTGAGAAAGGAGAAAGCTGACTGAGGTTTGCTCTGATCAGAGGAGGCAGGAGCGTCCTCCTCATCCTCCTCCTGCTCCTCATCCTCTCTATTCTCATTCCAAACCACTGAGGAGTTCCTTAAACTTTTACAGTTAGGTGCAGTTTGAGCCTCACTCTTGTCCGTTTTGTCAGGCTCTGTGTGCGACACGTCCCTTCCAAGCAGCGGCCCCCCCTTCATCACCAGCTCCATCCCACTGAACAGAGACAGGCTACTGTGATTGGCCGCCACGCTCACGGGTTCAGAGGAACTTCCTTCACTGATGGGCTCTGGAGCCACAGCAGTTCTAACCGACTGGGCCTTACTTTTGGCCATTTTATCCACCTGCTCTCCTGTCAAGCATCTCCAACTCTCATCCAGACCAGCGGCGGAAGCTGGGAGGTTCTGTGGATGGTCAATGCCCGACGGCTCAGGTTCAGGGTGACAGAGTTCAGGGCCGCCGCTGCTGCTGCTGTCAGCTGGGTTTGTTGGCTGTAAGCTCTTCAAGCATGCAGACGGCATAGACTGATTAGACGTTGCCTGGCTGCTGTGCGCCGCCTCTTGTCGAGAAGCGTGTAGCGATCCGCCCATCAGAGCCTCAAACTGCCGCAGGATCTGAAAGGAGGAGATAACGGTACAGGCTGACTTCAGGCACCTCCCTGTCCTTTCTGTCTCCGTTTTCATCTCTTACCTTGGTGGCTTTGTTCGCTACAGGTCCTGGAGGCCCCTCGCTAAGATGGTATAGTCTGCGCTGAGTAGCTCTGAATGTCTGCTCCAGAGCAAGAAGGTCAGAGGTCATGAGGCAAGAGACGGCACACAGAGCCCGCTGTAGGATTAAAGAAACACAGCTTTACATCAGCAGCAGGGGATCTCTGCATCCAGAACCTTCTAGCTGAGGCGTTTAGGTTACCATCTGAATAGTGTGGGATGGATCCTGGAGCTTGCTTGACAGCAACTCCACCACAACTTCACAGTTCAGAGTAGAACACCTGAGAGAGGAAGAGAAATGAGAAACCAGAGTACAAAACACAAAGGAGAGAGGTTAGCTAAAGGAGGAAAGGAGGAACAAACTCTTTAAGGAAGTGTTGACTCTCCTCCCTGGTGAGGAAAACTTTGGATCCTTCAGTCAGTCTGTTGATTAGAGCCGTCTCCTGGCCGCAGTCCCCCAGCTGCAACGCTTCGGTTCTAGAGAACGTGTGGAGAACAAGGTTTTTACAGAATAGCGCTCCGACACTCGACTAACATGCAAGGGGAACATTTCTAACCCAAACGGCAGCCCATTCCTAAGGAGCGTTCGTCCGGTTCAATTTGCATGTTTTCTAACCCAAAACAAGGCTTTGTTTTTGGTCCACTCTATAAAACCTGGAACTAAACGCTATTTCTGACATTTTGAATTGAAAAAGCTTCCTGGATGGAAGAGAAACGTCTTCAAACTCAGAAACAAAGTCCAGTGGATTAATTTTTAACTTTTTTGGAAAGTCAGCTGGTTTGGTTCATTTTTGGTCACATGAAGGTGGCTCTATCTCAGCTAAGTTAGATCACCATGGCAACAGCAGCAGAACAGAAAGATGGAGTTGCAGTATTCAGCGCCAGCTGTCTGAGCCCATCCCAAAAAGAAACGCACTGCAGTGAGCAAGACGAGAGATGTATTAGTCTGATGTTTGCTTTGAGTCAGAGAAAGCAGGATTTAAACTGCTTAAATATCAGATTCAGGATTTTCAAAAGCTGGTTTTTAGTCAGATCAACATACCCGTAGTTAAAATGCTGAGCAAGACTTCAGATTTGTGTCTATACCTTTAGTTTTATGCTTAAAAAAACACCATAAAGTTAGTAATTAAATAGTATTTTTGTACATGACTAAAGGGATACATGCCTGTTGAGGTAGTTTAAAGTGTATTTTTCATACAAAACTAAAAGGATAAACTAAAGGGATAAACGTGTGTTGACTATGGGTATGCTGATCTGACGGATCACTGGATCATTTACCCTTACCTGCCAGCACCAGACCTGGATCAGAAAATGTGTTAAGGTTTATAAATCATATGCCTTTTTTTATTTGAGGTTGGTCAGTTTTTTAAAAATATTGAGGACAGAATTAGAAACAACCTCCATCCGTTAAAACCGAAAGCTGTGCAAAATAAATAACCCAGAAATCTAAAATTAACAGCAACAACAACACGTGTCTTAGTAGAGATGCTGAGCCAAATGAATACTGTATCCGGATACAGAGTTTGAGTATAAATACTTTTCACCGTAGCAATGACTTTGACATCCCTACCCGGCAGTAAGCAGCAGACCTTCACTGCATTTCTAAGTTTAACAAAACTCTATTCTTGCATTTTTTTTTTTTTTTAGATCTCCTAGAATTAAACAATAAAAACAGATATGTGCTTTTCTCTTAGTTTGACCTCATCTGAGTCTGTTTGTTTAATGAACACATGACTCCAGCGTGAGTGAGGGACTACTTTGGGCAGCTTCCTCATCGTCATCCGCCACACCTACTCACAACATGCATTAAAAGTTAAGTCAGATGAACCTCGTAGACATGGACTCATACCATAAAGGAACCAAACAATAAAACAGAGCGACTGGATGGAATACAAGCATTTAAATAAACCTATATATAGCCAATGTGACACCATCAGTGATACTTTAAGACCAAAACAGCAACATGGCTCATTTCAATAGCTTTCTACCTTTCAGAGAGGTCTCCACTACTCTCCCTGCTGGCTGCCGATTTGCTGCCAACAGACGCTCTGCTGTTGGTGGCCATGTCCTGAGACGAGTTGTGAGAGGAGCCGTTGCTGCTGTCGGTCTCTTCCCAGCCTCCCCCTACCTGCCCTGGGCATCGCTGGGTCGCTGAGGAGGCAAAGGATCATAAAAGTTTTCATTTGATAGCTTTATTTTACCTGCATCCTTTTATTATTATTATTATTATGATGAAGAAGAAACATCTGTTCTCAGCTTCTTGACTTTGACTATTATCTTTGACAGGACTCTTCTAAATGATCTCAATCATCCCAACATAAGACCAGCGTAATGTTTGTTCACTGCTTCCAAACTCAGCATCTCTTCATCCATGAGAAGTTTGTTTAGAAGTTTTCAGATGCGCTCAGATTAAACTTTTAAGCCTCTCGGTATAAATAAATATTTTGATGGAGATGAGAAATCTGCTTCCTGGTTTGTTGAAGTACCAATAGTTTGCATCCAGTAATTTAATTAAACAACCTTAGTTTTTGGGAATAAATAAGAATTATTCTCTAATTTGAAGTCACCGATCTGCCATTATATTTGAAAATTTTAAATAAGCTTTTAATAAATCCAAAGCTTTATTAAGAGCCATTGTAGAGGTTCCATGGAGCCCCTTGCAGCTCTGGAAGCCCAGATTCCCCTCCCTCACTATAGAGCCATATCAATGTGGGAACTTTAAAACAATTGAATGAAAAGCATGTGGAAGGGTTAACAACAGGGCATTAATCCAGATCGATTCGCTGGTGTCCTAAATGTCAGTGGTTTCCATGGCCCATTAGAGCACAAACATCTCACCCTTAGGTTTGCGATGAGGCAGGTTATAGGCGCACGCCGGCACCGCCACCTCTATGGGTGCAGATGGAGCCACTACAGCTCGGTAATGGCTCTCTTGCAGTCTGATGCCCTGCTGCTCAGTTGGGGGAAGGACTGCGCTGGCAACTACCTCTGCAGCCTTCTGGATCTTATCCAGCAGTGAGTCACTGCCTACAGACACAAACAGCTTAAGGATGGAAAGCATTTCTCTGACCAAGTAGCAGATGTGGCGTCTGCAATGCGGTTTACGTCACTTACCTGTCCCTCGCTTCCCTGGATTGTAACCAAACCCCTGCAGTCCAGACCTTTGGGAACCCATTGATCCCATTCCTGGAGAAAAGCCAACAAATCAAGAACTGTGTTTGAGGCAAAACATCATGACAAAGGATGTCATAAAACACATTCAGCCAATAGCAAGACAGAAATATTTAATGTTGTATTTTCAAATACTAAATGCTGACCTACTGTTGCTGGGCCCATGCTGGGAGCAGTAATGCTGCCTTTGGTGGAAACTGCATCCGTGAAAAGTAAACGGGACACTTCCTGTGAAGGAAACAGTTCAAATTTGTAGACAGTAGCTAAGTTCAAATAGCCAGATTCGTTGGCCGATTACGTCAAAGCGCGGCACAGAGGCCTGTTCGGACTGAAAGACTTCTCCTTATGCAGCTAACAAATGCAGCCTTCATTCCCCTGTTTTGAAGCACTGGTTCGGTGTTTACTACGTAGCCTTTTGGTTTCCTGAGATTCATTTCCAGTCCAACAAAGCCAAGTGCTCCATGCTCAGAGAGAAAAGGTAAATGGTGCCAAACAGTGGTGAATATTGGAAGTACAGTTTAATATAATACAAGTATGTGAATAGTTCCGTCTGAAATGAAGAAAAATGGAGGTTTATAAATGGTTATTGAGTCAGATATGTGGTTGTTTGGTTTATTGAAAGGTTTATCTGTCGCTGTGCTGTTGGGTTATGCTGTCATTTAAGGACAGATTCTAAAATCTCTCCAGTGTGCGGATTTGCAATGACTGTACTGCTGCCAAAGCTCCTCGAAGACGTGATCATCACACAGAACAGTAGTTAATACTGTTGCTACTGGCCAATAGGGGGTGCTAGGGTGCCGCCCCTCCCACACAATGACCTTGATTTAAGACAGAAAAAAAACTAATTTAAATTATAAAATTTTAATATTTTGATATGTATATTCGTAGATGTGCAAGATAAATATTTAATCTTTAATGAAGAGTAAAGCTGTTGGGTTTTTCGTCGGATTGGGAACGTATTTCCAAAATGTTTGCCCATTGACTCTCGTTAAGTTGTAGATACGCAGTAGCTTCTCTGCACATACAGAGGTATAGGAGCTCTGGGCGCATCAAAGCTACGCCCTGAGGAGACAGGAACTGTCGTCACAGTTGGTGGGTGAATTAGAGTCGTAGAAGGGAAGCAAAGTTAGCAAGAAAAGCTTGAGGTCAAACTGTTTGGACCTGATCAGCTGAACATCCAAATTAATCAGCAGTCCAAAACAGATGGAGACGGTAGAATCCGTCTTTTTCCAGGACCTGGTTTAGCTACAAGGCTAACCGCCTAGCGAGGCTAACGCATAAAAAGAAAAATTATAATAATTTATAAAAGCTTCTCCTTTATTAAGCTGGTAGATTATTTCTTTAGGTTAGTGACTCCATATTGGATCCATGCAAAACACAGATTTACCTTCTCAAAGCTTCAGAAGGGAAAGATTTATGCACAAAAATAAACCTGTACATGAATTTATGTTTTGTTTTTATAATTTTTTTTTTATATTTTTTTGTTGTCGTTGGCATTCATATAAATATATTGCGGCGATAACTTACTATACGGTTCATTGGTTTTTGGTATAGGTCTATTTTGAAGTTATATCCCCCCTGGAGAAAACTCCTCCAGCCTCCAGTGAGGGAGAAGCTGGGCGTCCATTCTTAGCCTGCTGTGTGTGTCCGCTGTCATGGTTGCTACAGAGCGTAGAAGCGGTGAAAGCCGTAGTAGGCTGGATCTGTTTGAATCCTAAACTCTTCAGGCCTCCTTATTCTCACGGCCTTCAAAGGACCCAGTGCAGGTAGAGCGATTCCTTGGAGGAAGCAGCCAATGGAACCCACCCAGTGTACCCAGGTTACAGGTCTGATGATCCCCTCCGCCTCACCTGTGCTGCACTCCTTACTCTCTGGTATAGAGCTGTGCCATGGATGGGATCTGGAGCGCCACTGTAAACTAGAAAACAAATGAGGGAACATAAACCCATTAGACAGACTGACAGGAGGCACGTAGATCCTAAATCACAGGCCCTTACTTGATGCGTGCTGGATGAAGGTGGAGTTTCTTCTGAGCTCTGTGAGGAAATGTTTTGAGCCATGTCCACATAGGTGGATAAAGATTTTCAGCACCTGGCAAATGGCAGGACACAACGCAACCATCAATAACTGAGTGACAGGAAGGTGCTGCTGCTACGGGTCGCCCTCACCTTCAGTTTAACATGACACGACTCCACCTGCAGTCTCTCCAGGAGATATTCCAGCAAACATTGGCCATAACCTGTCGACTCGTGGCAGATTTCTTACAGAGTGGTTAAAGTTAAAGATACTTTGTTTGAATAGGACTGGCTTGCTCACAGCTTAGGAATAATGCAGAATAATAAAACATGCTGTTAAAACCCATCAAAGTGCTTTTCTACACCACTGCACATCTAAACTATTAGGGGTGGAGCTGTGCTACAGTATTCTCACTCAGGAAAACAAGTTGGGGTTTTAAAAATAAAGAGAACAACAAAAATCTAAACAGTCTGACATGCATTTGTAACAAAGTGCCTTTACAGGGAGGATAGACCCACACTCTCTAAAGGCCATCAGCTGCACTTTAGTGGACTTCGAGGTATCAGAATAAAGGGAGATATATACAAATCCTGCTGTTTTATTAAAGACTTCAGATTTTACTGAAAACATTATGGAAAAACTGCATCATAAATTGAGGGACATGGCAGATGGGGCAGGTCAGGAGAACCCAGAGTTAGGTGATATAACCAATATCCCAAACAACTGACTGATACTGTTCAGTTCCAGAAGGTGTCGCTACTGCGACCAAAGCCAACCACCAGTAGTAAACAAGAAGAAGAAGAAGCGAAGCAGCGTAGCCGGGTGTAGCAGAAAAAAATCAGTTGTTGTGGAGAATTGTGTGGGTATGGCGAGTTGGAAAGAACAGGAGTTGGAAGACGCGCCAGCAGCACTTTATAGGTCTGCTGTATGGGACCACTTTGCATTTAGAGTGACCTACGATGACGGCGGAAAGAAAGTGGTGGATAAAAGTGCAACAGTGTGCAAGCATTGTGCAACACGTTTTGTTTATGCTAACAGCAACATGACCAACATGTCATGCTAACAATCAACATATACCGAACCGAAAACCGTGACCACGACACCGTGAACCAAACCGTGGATTTTGTGAACAACTCCACCCCTAATATATATGTGTGTATATATATATATATATATCTTTTTTTTTTATAAACATGAAACAGTACTTGAGTTTAGTCAATTTTCTTTTATTATGTGGTTTAGTTGTTAAAAATATGGTCTGCTGTCCCTCTTTATTATTTGAGCCGACCTGTAGACTTTATTTCTTTAACATAGTTCATTTTTATATTTATGGTCAAAATATGTTTTAATGCGCACAGAATTTCTCTCTATCCTTTTTGATTGTACCAATGCATCCTATGCTGCAACAATAATAGCAGATATTTTTACATGTCAGTTTGTACCTGACTTTTAAAAAGTACAAACAAAAGATCCAAAAAAGTTAAAAAACAATTCACTGGACTTTGTTTCCAAGTTTGAAGATGTTTCACTTCCAATCCAGAAAGCTTCTGCAATTCAAAATGTCAGACACAGCGTTGAGTTCCAGGCTTTATAATAATAATAATAATAAAGGCTGTTTTTGTTTAGAAAAATGCAAATTAAAGAGGGGGTGGAAATCTACAATGCAGCAATTGAGTTGATTCCTTCCTACTATCATCATAACCCCAACCCCTTTACAGGGGAACAGACGACCTCGCCTATCCAGCCAGGCCAACAGTTCCCTTTAACGACCCCTTTCAGAGGCATAGACCAGAATAGGGCATTACAGGCTAACAGAGGAAGCCAAACGACCAATAATCTAAAGGGGTGGTCCCATACCTATGTTTAAATTTGCATGTTTTCTACACAAGAACAAGGCTTTGTTGGGCTACTGTATAAAGCCTCAAACTCAACGCTATTTCTGATATTTTGAATTGAAAAAGCTTCCTGGATGGGAAGAGAAACATCTTCAAACTTCAAAACAAAGTCCAATGAATGGTTTTTTTAACTTTTTTGGAATGACTATGACCTGGATGACTGAGAATCTTCACCAGAAGAAAACAAGGGTGTTTTTTCAATATAGAATCATTTTGCACATGGCAAATGTTTACACTTGGACATCCTCTACCAATAAATTTGCGAGGTTTGGACATTAGAACATGGCCTGCATTTCGCTATCCTAACCCTGCAGTAACATTGCATACAACAGCTCACAGACAAACTACCTGGTAAGGCATAGTGGTAGCAGTATCATGCTGTGAAGATGCTGTTCTTTTTCAGAAACGGGAGGCTTTTTTATTTCCTTTATCAAAATAATCAATGATTGAAAATATTACTGTGAAATTATATTCTACTTTAATGAATCCAAATGAAATCCAAGTCTACAATGGCCACTGAGGCCAATTTTTTTAAAGCTTAAAGATAAATAATACATGCACATAGGCTGTAAGGCTGTATATTGGGTGGAACTTGGTGGAGTAATGATGGATCCATTATATCCTAGAAACCAGCGGGCAATCATGAGCCAATAAAGGATACTTCCTATCTCCTGGAAAAGGTAGCCAGGACAGGGGGACTCATCATCTGCTGTTGCCTTCATCAGGGTGGGGATCTTAGATAGGTGGGAGAACATTATGATGTTAAAATCCACTTATAGTAAAAAGACAAAGCTCTAGCAAAACAAGCAGATATTTCAAGATAAACTTGTGGATTTAGATGTTTAGCTTGAAGGCTAGCAGTAACAACCAGCTAAGTATAAACCACCAAAGGACACACATTAGCTCTATGTCCAACTTGTCAGGTTTATCTATGGTTATAGCTGCTCTTCCACGAGCCTACAGATTTAAAATAACTTACCTTCTGCAGAAAAGACAACCTTTCCATAAATGCTGCCATGATTTAGCAGACCTAGCTGCGTGTCACTCATCTTCCGGCTAATGTTGAGGGCGCTGCTAACGATGACAACCAGCGAATCAGAAGGCAGTAGGTGGAATACGTTCTCGTCTATTCGCGTTGTCATGGCTTCCAATTGCAAGGATCAGCCAATCAGATGCAAGGAAAGCCTCCCAGCCCTCCGCGTTCATCAGCTGTCAGTTTGACTGGCAGCTTTATGAGCGAATCATATTTCTACAAATGATCGACGGACGTTTCTTTTTGTAACAGAGAATCCAACATGTCGGCGTCCTTGTTTGGCGTGAAACTGCTGAATGGCATCGGGTTATTTTGGTTTTGTTTGTGCCTTTAACGAACCAGTAAGCAGTGTTGCATTTAGAGTGACTGTCATTATTTTTCTTTGTTAATGTAAGACACAAAGAACGAAGCATGTCGGGGTCAAATGTATGGAGCCGCAGCCGGGAGAGATTGAGAGTTTTCCCTGAGCTTTTAGCTCAGTGCGCAGATGAGGTGAGTTTTAACAGGAAATGTTGATGTGGCTGGAATATTAGCTTTTGTTAAAACCCGACAAGCAGACAGAACTAAAAGAGGACAATCAGACTTTTTGAAAATGGGTTTTTGATATTCAGACATTTGGTAGATGCCATTCAGATACTGCTCTCATTCAGGGGCGGATTTAGGAAATGTGGGGCCCTAGGCAAAGACAGGTATGAGGCCCTTTGAAATGGGAAGACAACACATAAAACAGACCCATTATACAGATACAGACATTTTTATAGAATAGATATGCATTATTTGTTCTTTCACAGGAAATGTGAAACTAACTTAGCTGATTCCACCTTTCTGTATTTCCAAAAAGGTGAAAGCAAAAAAGTAAATAACACAGTACTTCCTTTATGTAGTAGACAAGCCATGATCTGCTTTTCTGTTCTCCATTTTTAATTTGAATGAAAATATCGCTGCATGAATCATGACAGTAGAGAAGTCGGAGGAGAGCAGGTGGCGGGGTTACCAACCTACTGGCTCTGGAGAGCAGAGTTCGCTGCTTTTGCCTTTTTAAAAAAGGCATTAGATTTGGTGCTAGATGCTTTTTTGTAATAAAAGCGCCAGAGGGGTCTGAAAAGTCACTAAATTGATAAAAGCATGAAGTTGGCAACAGTTGCTGCTGTTTGTTTGGACGTTTCAATACATGCACAGCAAATGGACTGATCCAGTGTGGTGGACAATGACGGGGGGGCCCTGAGGCATGTAATATTATAAGCATTTTGATGGCATTTTAACCAAAACATAATTAAAGCATTTCGCATTTGTGTGTCATCTAAATTGTCTTAAATCTTCATTATATTTTTCAAATTCAATGATTTAAATTTTTTCTGTAAGTTACATTTAGAAATGGGGAAATCCATATATATCACGCAATCTAAAACTGTTTACAAACAAGTATCTGTTTAATAAATACAGTCTAGTTCAGGGGTGGGCAAACTTTTTGACTTGCGGGCCAGAATGGGTTCTAAAATTTGACAGAAGGGCCGGGCCAGGAGCATTTGGACAAGCAATGTCATTAATTAAACCTGGGGATTGAAATGTATAAAAAAACAGACAATTTTCACGACCATAAGGCGCACCGTACTAAAAGGCGCAGTCTCAGTTATGTGTGCCATTTCTGTATTTAACACACACATAAGCCGCACCGGACTATAGGGTTTTCTTATATACAGGTACATGTCCTCTACTACGTTTAAATAGCTCTACTGCGTATTTAAAAATAGAGCGGGAGCAAAACTGAGTATGATTGTGCTTTATTCATTTATTTATTACAAAGTATTAATCAAACCTACGTGCTGGCCTTGAGACAGACACGTCACAGATGACACAGCGCTGTGGTCACTCCTAAATTAACTTAAAATCCTGAAACCTGCCGACGGAATATGTTCGCTTTTATTACCGGTATCCTGGTGCCTGCAGTTAAAATTATTTAGATGAAAAACACCTGCCAGCCGCCGCAGTGAACCCGGAGGCTACCCGGCCTAGAGGCTGCTGTTGAAGGGATTCCTACTGTCGGCGCACCGCTGGTATGTGGGGGTCTGAGCGCCTCCGACAGAAATAGATAATCTGGATGAACTGACTGCAATTATGAAGTTTTCAGGTGGACTTTCTCACTTAAAAACATATTAAAACTACTTTATTCCCACTGATCACAGCAAATATAGCTGCAAGATTTAGATTATTTAGATGAAAAAACAGCTGCCAGCCACCGCGGTGAAGAGGAGGAGACGCGCCCAGAGGCCCCCTATGGAGGGGGAACAGATTATTTCAGGCAGCTGAAATATATGGTTCCCCCCCTTTAATTTTTGCAAATAAAGAGTAAATATGACCAAATCCACAGGATTTGTTCTCGGTGGTGAGAGGAATAAGCACAGTTAAAGACTTGCAGGTAAATTAATTTCTTCCCCTGTTATGGAGGGGGAACAGATTATTTCAGTAAGCTGAAACATCCATTATCTCCTCTCCTCCTCCCATATCTTTAGGAAATAAAGAGCAACTGTTTCCAATTTCTCTCAAATTGATATGTGTGATGTGGTATACTATAAATATCCTTAATCCAGTAATCTGTCATATTTTACATTAGAAGGTGATTAACCAGAAATTCTTCTCTCATCTTCGCAGGACGTCTTAATTTGTGTGCCCTGCTATCAGCCAGTTTCCATCCTCTTATATCAGCAATGAAAAATTAAAAATACACTACGTGTTGTTGTGTTCGGTGACTGACGTTTATTTCTGTCAGGCTGAAGGGACAAAAGTTGGAGAAATACCGATTCTCTTGGCGTTTAAAAAAACACAAAACAGCTTAAGAGGACCTCGTTAATGTATTTATCTTACAATTTCTTAAAAAGAGCAACCGATTAAAATGGATGTTACAAAGTTAAGATGATTATATGAGCTGTTTTTCCCGAAAAATGATCAGGAGCGCCTTGAGAATGGGCAGATCCGCCCCTCTGGCTGCAATGCGCGCTCCCAAAACAGGGGGAACAGATTTTCACGGGGAAACAGAATTTCGCACAAGACCTCTTCACACCGATGTGGAGCGGTTGAAGTTCCTTTGTCAGACCTCCCGGGATAACGGCGAGCACAGCGTTCATTCAGTCACAGATTAACAGTGATGGTGATGTGTGGAAAAAACCACCTGGTCTCCTCATACACCTGCCTCAGCCACGCTTTCATCATCTCCTCATCCATCCAGCCTTTTTCATTTGCCGTAATATCATGTGTCATCAGAGCGCTGTGTCTGTCTCGCTGTCAGCTCCCAGATCAGCTTCTCTGATTGGTTGATGCGGCGCTTCCAGCAGCAAAACTTCAATTTTTCCATCTGGAGCAGCAGCAGCGCGTTTCCGGCGCGTCAGATAAACGATCCCGACGCGCTGCACCTGCTGCTCAAAACGCGCTGCGGGACCTTTTGCTGCACCTATACGCGCGTCAACCATTGACTTTGCATGTAAACTCGCTGCTTCTGCTGCACCTGCTGGGTCTGGTTCACACCGATGTCGAGCGGTTGAACAGCGAGCACAGCGTTAATTTGATTCACCATGTTTTTCACATCAGCTGTGAGATGGGCACGCATGGCGTTACAGATTACCAGAGATGGTGATGAGTGGGGAAAAAAACACCTGGTCTCCTTACATTCACCTCCCTCAGCCACGCTTTCATCATCTCCTCAATGAGGAGATGAGGAGTTCTGCATGGTGCATGGTGGTCTCAAAAGTCGCAGTTACAACACACATAGGGCGCACCGCACATTTTGAGAAAAAAAAAAAAAAAGACGTTTATGTGCGCCTTACAGTCGTGAAAATAGGGTAATTTGGACAAGTTGGGCGGGCCGGATTAAAAAGCCTAACGGGCCTTATACGGCCCGGGGGCCGTAGTTTGCCCATGTCTGGTCTAGTTGTATCTTCGTATGAATCCTGATGTTAAATTGGAAATGCGCTAAATACAGATGAGGTCTATATTTCATCTTCTAAAGATTTAAACTTCAACCAATAATGGATGTTCACCTTCCAGCTGGACAACCTTAAACATCAAACCAGAGCTTCAATGAAATTGTTTAAATCAGGGTTCTCCAACTCTAGTCCCCCCAATAGTTACTGTAAATGTAGGATGCATTCCTGACCTTTATGCTTCTTTATATAACGCCAATCCACAACATGTCATCTAAAGACGCAAGGAAAACCAGCAGATTGCATCGTGCCGTTGATTTTTCAGGATTTGATCCTCATCGATGAGCAACAGTAGATACTCACTTGCATTGCTATTGATGCTACAGCAATCCCTTACACTGAGCATGCATGCAGCAACAGTGGAGAGGAAAAACTCATTTTTAAAAGGAAGAAACCTCCAGCAGAACCAGGCTCAGTGTGAGCGGACTCAACTAAATTATCTCTGTATAAAAAATAGTTCTGCAGAGTCCTGATACAGAGCAAGTCGTTCGGTTCAGGTGTGTTAGAGCAGGGTGGCATCTGGAACATAATCATTACAGGACAGTTCCTCTCAACCCTTGGTTTAGATCATATGATCAATATGGCCTGGTTAAATATAAAGGGACATCCCAGCTAAGTGAGGGTAATGAATGAAATATAGTACCTGCAGTTATTTGAGATCCTAAATAGAATGTGATTGTTATATCATTATCTAGGCTGCAGTTTATGGGAAGTGTGTTGCAGCTACAACAACAGGCAACCAGGAGCTGAAGAAGGACCTGTGTGCTAAAGAGTTTGAAGCCCTAAAGGCCTGCTTCACCAATGCAGTGAGTCATTATCTTTGGTTAGATTATTGGTCTTAATGGAAATGTTGATATTTCTATTTTGTATCGTCTTTCCAGGCCAGGAAGAAAAGAAGATGAGTGGCAAACATCTGGGTTTGGTTGGCTTATCTGTGGCAGAAAACGGGTGTAAAAATGTTGGAAATGTTTCTGAGTCAAGCTGTAATGCTCTGTGCATCTCTGTAACAAAGACAATAAATTATTTGATCAATTTTATATTTGAACAAACCAAAATTCAATTTTGGCTTTTATTGATTATCAGCAAAATGTACAATAAAACATTTCACATACAAAAGTATGCTTTTTAAATGCAAACTGAGGCTTTAGAAAATATGTTCAAACCAAAAGTCTTATCCTAGTTTTAGCAATACTGTGAGAACAAGTTAAAGGGAGAAAAGAGAAGATGGCATGGAAAAAATAAAATGCACATTTATTATTTTTTACTGCAGGTCAGAGAAGGCACCAGCAAGAAAAAAGGTGATGTATGAGTCAATGGTCCAAATTTAAAATAAGCACACCTGTTCAGTAAATAAGGCTACATTCACAGGTGACCTTCACTGAAAACGCAACCAAACTGAGACTCACGATTCAAAAGGACGATATCAACGTGTGTGACGTCCACAAACATGAACACATTCTCTGGAGGCAGAATCCTTTAGCTGCCCCTCATAAGTATAAACATTAAACATTATATTCCTGCTCAGAACTTTTAGAATTTGCATAGATATATTTCTATTTACACAGTGACCTTTTGGAGACGAAGCTCTTGAAACAAAATAAGTTATATTTACATAGATTGGATAAGACTTTGGGTCATCTTCATTGTAAGGTCCCTAATGTTTGGGAGGCTGGATGTAAGGCAGCAGCGTGTTGCTCCACAGTATGATGAGGTTGTGCAGGTGTGGATCTGTGCTGTAAAGCCATCCAACAGGAATGTTTCTGATCTTACTCTGCTCCATCGTCCTCCGCGGCCTGTTTAATCTGCCTGGAGTGCACCACCGCCGCAGCAAGCAGCTGCTGCTCCAGGGCAACATGCAGGTCTGAGCCTCCTAACTCCAGGAGGGGCTCCAGTCCAGGGACCCCTCTGGATCCCCTGGAGTCCTTCAAGGGCCCTGCAGCTTCTCCCGCTTCCAGAGCTCTCTTCCTGCGCTTCAGATCCGTCTCTCCCTGCTCCCTCTTCCTCTCGCGGGAGCCCTGGAGGCGTGCCTGGGCTCTGACAGCCTCATCTCCTACCCCTTCTCCAGGCTGCGCTTGAGCAGCTTTTTCTTTGAGCTCTCTTCCTCCTGTTTTCAAAGCTTCCCCGTCTTCTCCCTCAGCTCCCTCAGCAGGTTGTTCAGCGTTTTTAGCTTCTATGGCCCGGTGCAGCTGGGCCAGCCGCTCCCGAGTCTCCTTTGCCTCTTGCTCTTTCTTCGCTCTCTCGTTTATTTCTTTGTCTACTTGCTGAAGCTGCTCTGCCAGGTTTGCCCTCTCTAGCTCTTTCTTTCGGATGAGCTCTTGCTCACTGATTAGCTTCTCTCTCTTCTCTCGCTCCAGCCGTTTTTTTTCCACCCGGGCCTGAACGTCTTTTTCTATTCTTTCCTTTTCAGCTCTCTCTTTGTCCAGCTGTTGCTGGGCGGCTAGTTTTTCCTGTCTCTCCTTTTCCAGGAGTGCATTTGCTAATCGTGCATGCACTTCTTTCTCTATAATTTCCCTCTGAAGTTTCTCCCTTTCCTCATTTTCATTTTGCACCTTTTTATTTTTATCTCCATCAAGAACGTCTTTCTCCGGTGCTTTTTCTTTATCCAGACTTTTTTCTTCATCTCTAACCTGAGATGCCAGATCATTCTGAAGGCCTTCAGATCTTTTCTTTCCTAGCCGCACCCCCCTTGCTCCCAGCTCACTCTGCTGCTGAGACTCCCCTCCAGCGGCGACATTAGCATCTTCCTTGTAAGCTGCTGCAGCCGCCCCTTTAGCAGGTTCAACTTCAGCACCTGCATTTCCGGCCGGATCCTGTTTCTGCTCCACAATGGCAGCCTCTTCCCCCCCCCCAGCTGCTGCTGCCTTCAGGTCTGACGCCACCCCAGACTCTCTGGCTTTAGCTGCTCCTGCCTCCTGGATACTTTTCTCCTCAACATCTGCTGCTCCTTTCAAATAAAAATAAAAGAAAAAAAATCAACATCGGTTTGAAAATAATCCATTATTGACCATGTAGGTATTTACTTCCTTTCTTTAGCGTAAACAATCTGGGCCTGTTGTAGGATGTCATTTTAATTATTGTACATTATTATCAAGCAGCCTTATTGAAGATAAAGAAACCATGCAATAAAAAACGACCAAACTTGTAAAGAAGGGAGACAGGCTGCGGAAAAACCTGCTTTCTGCTCCTCCACAATCAGTTGCAGCGTCGAACACGGAGCAAACAATGAAGTATTTTATTCAGCAGGATATAACGTACGCATCAGTGCTTTCTTTGACAGTGTTACATTTACACTGGATTAATCATCTCGTGTGGAATTTGGAGATCCGTCTTCCTCTCTGTTGGGAACTTTACTCAATGCAGCTTATTCCATTTGATGAGCAGGCAGACAGGGTTTTCTCTCCTTTAGAGAATCTGGATCTTTAATTTTAGCTGCTTGATGAGATTGAAGAAGCTGCAACCAGAGCAGCAGCAGGACCGGCTGCATATAGAAGCTGTTACACGTGTACTAGCCTGGTGCAGGTCCCTATTCTTTATAAATCCCTGAATTAAAATGGACAGGTGCTGGGCGGCCACCACAGTTAGCACTGCTGCTAGCAGGCTCCTCCATGCAGAACGCAGTGGTTTAACCACAGCTTTTCCATTTACTAATACATTTCAGGGACACTCTGTAACATGTAATATGGAGACGGGGTACATATTAAGATCTCAGCTCATTGGGGAGTGTTGGATACAACAAATCTGCGGTGCATGTGATGCATTTACACACCGCCTGGCTGTTTCTGGTGGATTTCCTTGTGCTGCTCCTCTATGACAGCCAGTAGTTTCTCCTGCTGGTCCAGAAGTCTCTTCTGTTGCTCCTGCTGCTCCTTGATCACCTGCAGCAGCACCGCGTGGTCCAGCTGGCCTTCTGCATACAGACAAGAACATCCAGTTGAACGAACAGATCGAGAGGTAGAAAAGGGAAAGAATACGAATCTCCCAACACAACTATAGACCGCAGGCTTAGTCAATGAGTCAATGAAGGACAAACTATGTTAGGAGGAGGCAGAGGATAGATGCTTTACTTGCTATATGAGACGCACCAATCAGATCAGCTCTCTTAAATATTTCTCCTTTAGAAAATGAACTTTTATTTTCTCCAGCCTTCTTGATTTACACTGAACGACTGTCAGTTATGACTGACTGGGCAAGTTCTGCTACTGAGAAAGATGATTATTTTTAATCAAAGCTACACTTTAACCATAAGAGAGAAAATAAAAAACAGGAAATCAAATAAGTATTTGGTCAACCAGAAATAAGCAAGATGTTTGGTCCTCAAAGAGCCTCTTTTTAGGAAGCTCTTCTGTTCTCATCTCCATGTATTAATGACATTCATTTGAACTGGTCATCTGTATGAAGGCCAAATGTCCACAGACATTAAAATAAAATACTATTTTGAAAACCACAGAGCTGCTGAAGGTCTAAAGAAGAAAATTGTAGACCTGCACCAGGTTTGGAGGAGTGAATCTATACTAAGCAGGGGGAAGAAATCCACAATAACTGGAACAAAATGGAAGACTTACGAGATCACAGATAATCTTCATCTAAAATGAACCTGATCAATGATCTGCTGAGAGCAAAGTAACGAGGGCCACTGGCCTCCAGACCTCAACCCCACAGAAAACTCATGGAGGGAGTTAAAAGCTGTTGCCCAATTAAAACCCCCCAAAAAATCCCTTCCTTAGAGGAATGGGCCAAAATACCATCACGTGTAATAAACCTGGTGAAGACTTAGAGAAAACGTTTGACCTCCATCATTGCCAAAAAGGTTGTGCTACAAAGTACGGAGTAGAACTTTAGTTCTTGACCAAATACTTATTTTCCACCATTGTTTACAAATCAGTTCTTTAGAAATGCTACAGTGAGATATCCTGCTTTCTCATTCTGTCTCTTAAGGTGTACCTATGCCTCTCATCTTTCTAAGTAGGAGATTATGCACATTTCATGGCTTAAATACTTTTTTGCCTCACAGTAAACCTTTTTAAATGTTTCTATTAAAAGAAAGGGAACGTCCCACTGGGTGCGAGAGCAACAGGTTTAAAGAAAGATTTACAAATTTAAAATAAGGACAAAAAGATCCCTGAGTAGCATCAATAATCAGTTCGGCTGTTAGCAAAAGAGCAGTTATCGAGCATTCAGTGGAAAATGTAGATTTTTAAGATCTAAGATTTTGAAAAGTCATTTAAATCTATGAGAAAGCAGAACACTTTGCCTTCCTGTTATCTGCTTAAAGCCCCGCTCTTTCTTGCTATCTTAACCATAGATATGACTCAATATGTTGTCAGAATAATATTTTTCTTCTGGTCAACCACAGATGTGATTGTTTTTTGGTGCGTCTCTATTCACCCTTACTGGTCAGTGATGTAACATTTAGTATTAAGGTGTGTAATGATTATTGATCAGCTGCTGAATAATGACAGGTTAAAAACAGAGAATAGAAAGAGAAGAAATCCATACCTGCAACCAGCTTTTTTATCACTGCAATTTGAATCCGCCAGAGAGAAGGAAGGAAGGGAAAGAGGTTAAGAAGAGGAGAAAAAGGAAGCAAAAGTAAATAACAGAATATAAGAGTGAACAAGGCAGATCATGCTGCTAAGAGCATGAAAAGTCAGCAAGTAAAATAAGACTGCCATGTGTTTACTTACAGCTCTAACAAATTAAGAATGGGCTGCAAAGATAAAATAAGGTCCAACAAGCAAAGAGAAATAAAGACCAGAAGCAACAAAACAAGCAACCTTTCCGGGAACCAGCAGTCTCATCCTGACTGGGTCTTTTCCCACTTAAGGAACCAGAACCAAAATCAGGCAGAAGTGGATAGAAATACCCAAAAACCAGTCAAGAGGAATGTTTGTTTACATTAAATCAGTTCTGGATTGTTAATTCAGGTGAAGATCTGCTTTCCATGTCTTAACGTTTGAGCAGCAACATATTTAGATCATTTGCAACACTTAGTGCACATGCAAAACAAAAACAATGCATGTGCAAATTTAGCTCCACTTCTTTGTAATCTTTGAAGATGAAACAGTAGGTCTGGAAAAAACTAACACTAAACACCACTCTGAACCCAGAATCCACATGGAAACACACGGGATGGCAGAGCAATGCTACGTTCACACCGCACGCAGCAGAAGCAGCAAAAATGCCCGCGCTGCTTCATTTCTGATGCTTGTACAAGTTTAGTTCTGACGCGCGGCTGAAGCATCTTTGCTGCACTAGCTGCGCTGTCGTAAAGTGGGTCTGATGCGCGTTGGGCGGAGCTACCCTAGCCTTTCTTTGCCTTTAATAATGGCGGATGAAATCAAGAGTCGCTTGGCTTATTTTAATGAATAATGCTACGTTTAGACTGCAAGCAGCAAAAAGCTTCTGCTGCTTCATTTTTGCTGCTTGTCCACATTAAGGTCAGACGTCCAGTAAAGTGTTTCCAGATGCGTCTGCTGCTCCTGTGTTAATGGCAGTGAGCAGCTTTGCCAAATTTGCTGTTACATGTTAAAAAGTATTTTTAATGTTTTTTAAGAGAGAAAGTCCACCTGAGAACTTCATCAAGATTTGCCATCCTGCCTTCATATATTATTTCGCTGTTGAGCCGCTCAGACCCCCTGAACACCGGCTGTGCTCTGTCTCTGGAAATCCCCTTCAATGGCAGCCTCCGGCCCGGTTGCCTCTTTGTGGTTTTCTGCTACTGTTCATGGCGGCTGGAAGGCGTTTTTCACATACGTAATCCAAACTGCAGGCACCAGAATATTAAAATTGAACAAATTTTGCCAGCAGGTTTCTACATTTGAAGTTAATTTAGGCGTTAAGAAACTGTTTCAGAGGAGTGATCATAGCGCTCTGCATCAGCAGCGCTGTGTCTGTGTCCCTGCCAGCTCCCAGATCAGCTTCTCTGATTGGTTAATGTGGCGCACTGAGCAGACAAAGTTCAATTTTTCCAACTCCAGCAGCTGCTTTTGAAGTGCATCCTGCACGTCAGATGCTCAGAAGCTCTTGAAGCGCTTCTTCAGCTGCTCAGACGTTCAGCTCCTGCTGCTAAAAACACGCTGCAGGACCTTTTGCTGCACCTTGATGCTCGTCAACCATAGACTTTGCATGTAAACCAGCTGCTTCTGCTGCCTCTAAGCACATGCGGTCTGAACGTAGCATAATGCTCAGCCTCTTCTTTAGCAGGGCAGCCGATCAAGTTAAAGTTGATATGAGGATTGATAAAGGAAAAGCTGGAAAGCAACGTGTCACTGGGTCCGAGGTTCACCTTCTGAAACAAAACCCCTAAACACATCACCATGGTTACCACTGAAAGGGTTTGCTTCAAAGCCGTTCATTTGACAAACTGGGACTTTAGATTCGCTGCTGACATTTCATTCTCAGGCTAACTGAGATCAAGCTATTTTTGCACTGAAAGGTTTATTAATCTGTCCAAAACGTCATCATTATCACCTTAAGGTTGCTGTTATCCCTGTTGCCTGTGAACCATTTTTTAGCCAAAGTTTTTATTTCAATCAACTATACCCAAAAGAAGAATGGTCAGAAAAAACATTTTATCTCATAGTTCCCAAGAAAATACAATGATGTATGTAAACTGACGGAATGTGAAAAAGGCAGCGGGTGTGGTAAAACACCTCCATAAACCTTGTTAAAGCTGCTTTTAAATAGATGTGGTTGCAGCTTAACACATCAGGCTTTAAGGGTCCAAGGAAGCCAATGTAGAGTCTCCCCTAGTAGGACAGAAATTATACTGGATTGCTGCTCTGCTAAGGTTTAAAGACTTGTTTCATCCTTAATGATGCTTTTTTTCCTGCCTTTTCTCCACCACATCTTATCCACATGTATCTTTCTAACTTATTTGAAAGCAGAGGTCTCAGCTTAACCTACCGTCCATCTTCTCATCTGCTGTATCTTTGCTGTTTGCAGCTGCAGGCCCGTCTGCAGCTGCGGCTTTGTCTCCAGCAGGATGAGGCTCTTCTTCAGAACCTGGAGCGAGAAAAATGTATTCATTAAAAAAGTCAAAATCACTGGAACAGAAATGCTGCATATTTTCCTATGTGTTTATAAAGACAGTGGAAATATTTACCCTTTTCTGCATTGTTGGCTTGTTTACCACCTTCTTCGTTACGTGCTGCTGCCTGATTGGCTGCCACATCTGCGTCTTTATTAGGAGCGTCTCTGACAGGTTTATCAGCGTCCTGAAGAGGAGCTGAATCCTGTTTGCCTAACTCTCCAACGTGCTTCTCCAGCACCTCATTGGACGCCACCTGGCCACCCACCTTCCCCTCCTTCTCCTTCCCTTCAGCAGCCCCTGCTGGTTTCGCTTCAACGTTTTCATCTTTCCTGTCCTCTGCCTTCGGAGCGGGGCCCAGTTCCTTCCGCTGTGGTTCCTCTTTGACATCTTCTTCAGCTTGCTTCTTTTCCTCTTCTGGTTTTACATTGTTCTTCCCTGACTCTGCCCTCACTTCATCTTCGGGGATGGGCGGTTCGTGACGATGATCTTCCCCCTCTGGCACAGCTACGGCGGAGCGAACAGACGTCAGAGATTCTATGCGGCTTGAGATCCAGGTCAGTTTTACAGTTTGCTTCTTACCGGCATCGGGACGATCCAGCTGAACCACTTTCTCTTCCTTCCTCTCATCTGGTCCCTTGATCTGGGGAGGCTCAGCATCTCTCTCTGCAGGTTGCAGCACATTTCCTTCTGGAAGATCAGGCTTCTCTATTTCTACTGGTTTCTTGCCCACAGAGTCATCTGTGAAAAAAACAACAGTTCGTCACAGCTTCAAACCTCTTTCAATCTTTGTTTATAAGTTCTATGAAGTCTTTTGGTAATGTCAACATTTTTTAAGTTTTAACTTTTCCTACCCTTTGTAAAGTAGCTTTTTATAAACAGCAAAAACTGATGATCTGCATATTAAACAAGTGTTGATTTCTGGTCTTCTATGCAAAATCTTGCTTAAATTAAGGGAAAATGCACTTATTTCAAGGAAAATCTATTTTTATTTTCAGCTTTTCATGCCTAGGTATAAATCTTAACAAAATTCATAACCAAAAGTTTGTTGTTGTTTTTTAATACAAACTGACATATCAAAGCATATAACAGCATTGGGAAGGGGCGGCCTAGTGGTTACGGCATAAAGCTTGGAATCCTAAGGTTCTGGGTTTGAGCCCCACTCCCACAGACTGCCCCTCTGGGCCTCTGAGCAAGACCCTTAACCCCACACTGCTCCCTGGTGCCGCAAAATGGCAGCCCACTGCTCCCCAAGGGGGAAAGGTAAATCTCTCCAATGTGAGATTAATACAGTTCAATTATTAACACAAAGACATATTTTTTAGTGTTTCTTCATTTAAAATGTAATGATTATAAAGAGTAGCTAATGAAATGCCCATATTTAGCCCTTTTTAAGCATTTCTAACTAATGCTCCTGGTCAGGGAGTGTTTTTACAGAGGGAAAGCAGCAGTTCTGCATCAGTGGCTCTTAAAAGTCCTGACTTCCAGCTACAATCTCCCCTTATGAATCTGCCTAAAACTTCAATGAGCTTTGCTTCATAATCTTCAGGCTGATGTCATCCCTGTTGTTTGTGCTCCACTGTCTAGCACAAGTTTTCCTTCCACTGAACTTTCCATTGATACGGTTACAACTAGAACACTTTGCATGGCTTTAACATTCGTGCCAGTTGGGCAACTGTCACTTAAGCTGTCTTTGACAGGACAGTGGAACATTTCTGTAAGAAAAGGATTCTTTTATTGGTCTTAATAGACATTTTAGAGTCTATGTTTTATTTACTGTGAACCATAAGCATTAGAAATAAACGTTTAGATTAGAGCTGAAACAATGAAGAGGATTAATTGTGATTAATCGATTATTCAAAGAATTCTCAACTAATTTGGTGATCAATTAATCATTAACTGGAGTGTAGACTGTAAAATATGCCTTTAGCTGATAAAGCAAACCAATAAGAGCAGTATTTATATCAAAATGTAAAAAATATATATTAACATTTTGCATCTAAGATAAAAATAACTTTTGTCTATCAATAAGCTCTATCCAGACCTCAAGTTCAAATGTTTTAGTGTCACCCAGTTTAATTAAAAAAAAAATCTTCTTTAAGGAATCTTTGGTTATCCAATTATTAATCGATTAATCAAAAAAATTATTCTATTGAATTGAATTGTTGAAACAAATCATTTCTTTATGATGTATGAATTTATAAAATGCAACTTTATTTTTCCACAAGTCTGCCAACTGTTCTTGAAGCTGTTGTTTTCAAAATATCCTCTAGGTGGCAGCAAATACTAAACCTATATAACTGCATTAAACAGGGAAAAGGTAAAACGATTTAAAACTAACAGGAAGTAGGTGCTCAATGTGAACAAATAATAGCAGAATGATAAAGGAAAATGTAAACACCGAGTCAAAAGGGAAATAATATGAGGAAATAAATATAAAAAAATACTGCATTTAAATGAAGGACATTCCCACTATAAGACATTATAAGACTCCTGTGTTACCTGAAAGTAGCAAACCTGGATAAAAATGTTCTCAGACTCCTATTTTCATCCTTCATTTGCTTCTTATGTTCTGAGCCTGCAGTCATTGTATAGCTGCCACCAGAGGAATGAGGGTGGATGAGGCTGAAGACAGTGAATTTTAAGGGGTTGGGGGCTGGTAGGAGAAATGAACACAGGCTGAGAGAAATTGCTGGAGTTTGAAGGGCATCAATCCCGCTTCATCAATGTCAAGAAAGGAGTACGGCTTTCAGATATTATCAAGAGGTTATCTCCTCACCCTGCCTGTCTCTTTTCCTCTCAGGTAAATAATAAAAGAACAGTCTTCCACTGTGGCGCTGCGCTTTTGTTTTTATCTCTGTGGCACTTTGCCTTAAGATCATTCCTTCTTAAAGCTTGCTTAATCTGCAGGGAATTTCAAAGAAACAACCACCGTCCTTCTATTGCTGGGGCATTTAACATGAAATAATTGCAGTGAGTGGTGCCGGCCCATCTTACACTCAGCAGACCGCCCCAGCTCCAGCGTGCCGAGGTAAATGTTTCAACGGCTCATTAGTAAGCCACTTTCATTTACAGTCCATCAAGCCGCTAAGTGTCTGCAGCCATTAGAGGAAGTCGTGATCTTTACCGTGGGGGTCAGGCAGGTTTGGTAGAGGGAGGATATTCTTGTTAGGTGCCGGGGGAGGAGGAGCTGGGACTCTGTAGCTGGGGCTGCTTCTTGACACTGAGAGCGTGGTGAAGGTGCTGACCAGGAGGATTCCCAGACCGACGCAAAGAACCAGCTACAGGACAGACGGACGAGAAAGAGAAAAGTTCAAAAAGAGCAAATAGAAATGCATTCCTCTGGAAACAGCTTCAGGGACTCCTAGCTTAGGTAGGAGAATCACCCCACAAAACTATGATTAGTCAGCAACTCTACAACTAGCCGGATAAAGCTCATTCTTAGCTGCAGGAGTTTTAAACTTTATTAAAAATCATGCAGGAAAGACTGTAAATATGTGGACACTGATTAAACAAAGCCATAACTGAATGTTTGGTCACACCAGGATTCGCCATCTAGAGCTGCAAGTGGCCTCTGGTCTTTATACAGAGAGTTAGAAAAACAGATGATTTTAAATAGAAATACAAAAACAAAAACTGTTTTTTTTTCTTTAATTCGATGACTGCATTGCATTTCCACAACAAAATGACAACAGTAAAATATTTTAGATATTTTTCTGCCGTTAGGTTGAAAACTATGTCATCCTTCTTTCTTTACAGAATTTTCCACCAACATCAACACACCATAAAAGCTCCAGTATCCATTCTCTTTTTGTTAAATTTTTTCGTAACTGTAAAATCTAAAATTAGAAAAAACAACAATTCTTTAAAAGATGACAACAAAGGTCATGTAGATAGCTTATATACCAATTGCAGCTCTAAACAGATGTTATCCAGATGGGCTAGATGTATTCCAAAGAATGCTGGTGAACATTCTCAGTCATCCAGGTCAGAGTCATTACAAATAAGTTAAAAACAATCTACTGGACTTTGTTTCCAAGTTTGAAGACGTTTCGCTTCCCATCCAGGAAGCCTTGTTTTTGTTTTCAATTTGCATGTTTTCTAGACAAAGCTTTGTTGGGCTACTGCATAAAGACTTAAACTCAACACTATTTCTGACATTTTGAATTGAAAAAGCTCCCTGGATGGGAAGCGAAACGTCTTCAAACGTGGAAACAAAGTCCAGTAGATTGTTTTCAACTTTTTTTTTGGTATTCCAAAGAATATGAAGAAATAACTTCAGTGAAAACTGGGGATATAAAACTTTAGACGTTCATTTGTCAACAATTAGAGAATAAAACTTTGAATAATCATATTGTGCTTTGAATACCACATAAAAGCTTTGATGTTTTAAGTTTAATGTGAGAAAGTTAAACAGGAAGAAGGCCAAATGTTTTCTCAGAACAATAAATGTGAGCAACTGAAAACCTGAGAAATGAAGCCATTCTTCTGGATCTTTCTGTAGATGAGAGCAGGACATATGAAGCATATGAGACTACCCATGGTGGCACCAGTCAGACCCAGGATGGTTTCCACTGAAAAACAGGAAGGAGAACCTGTTTACAATACATGCATCAGCTGATATTAAAATAAACAAATATATATATATAATGGGAGATCTGTGAGCAACAAAACATAGCGTCAGGTAAAAATTAGTAGAAAAGGTTATAAAGAAAAAAAGCTCCATCATTGCTGGTGATGCTGGATGGTTTATTCCACAGGATAATTAGTTTACTTTTAAACAATAACAATATAGCTTCCTGATTTAGACCTCTGAGTGGATTTCTCACCATCTTATGCATAAATAAACCCTTGTGTAGGTGTAAACGGATCAATATAGGGCTTAAACAATGAGATTAATCGTGATTAATCATTTACTGAAATAATTGTTAACTAGTTTAGCAATCGATTAATTGTTAACCAGAGTATAGAGACTGCAAAACATGCCTTTAGCTGACAGTGGAACCCACTTAGAGCAGGAATTATTCCAAGGTAGTAAAAAACAAACATTTTGCATTCATCCATTTCCCATCATGCTTTATCCCAGCTGGGGTCACAAGGGTTACTGGTGCCTTTCTACCGCTGTCTACGGGCGAGCAGCGGGGTTCAACCCTGGACAGGTCACCAGTTAATCGCAGGGCAACACAGACACCTAACGAGAACTGCAAAGCAAACTCCATTCAGAAAGGCCCCGGGCCAGGAATCTAACCCGGAACCTTCTTATTGCAAGGCAGCAGTGCTACCCACTGCGCCACTGAGCAGCGTTTAAGATAAAAAAAAATAAGTTATATTTTGTCAATATGCTCTTTTAAGAACACCTCAAGTGGAAAATTTGAGTTTCACCTGCTTTTATTTTGAAAAAAAGTCTTCTTTAAAGAATCTTTGGCAACCCGATTATTAATCCAAAAAATACTCAACAGATTAATGGATTTGCTAAATAATAGTTAGTTGCATCCCTACATTAATAGGCAGTACCACACTGTGCTGCTCTTGGCAGGAAACATACAGCAAACCACGGCACCAAGCTCTGCAGCTCAGGATCACCGTGCTGGGCATCAGGCCCAGAACCCTATCGCTCATCCAGAGGACGGACACCATATTGTTTTGCTCAGATTTAGTGTCCATTCTCCCCGGGGTCCTCACTTCCTTTCTCCTCAGTCTATTAGTGTGATTAGATACACAAAGACCCCCCCTCTGCCCATCTGCTTGTGTGGTCGACCAATCAAAGCTTTAACAAACAGTAAATAAGAAAAAAGTATGAATAAAGTAAAGCTAAGCATTTAACCTTTCCATCTCCTCTGTTTTTAGAGGCGTTTGCTGAGGATAAACTAACCTGAGGAACCTGAGTGAGCGCCAGCATTGCTGTGGACATGAACTTGTCTTTGTGTGGTTTTAAGTGTGTGCAGAGCTGGAGAGAATAACTGCCCTATCTACCCGTCAGCCCATCTAAAAGGAGATAAAAGTTGGGGCCCTGATTTAAAGACTGTGTTAGAGTGTGACAGTCACTGACTCGTAAAGTCACATTCACACACATCGTAAAGCTCCCCAGCTGCTCCGCCCACATAAAGGAGCACATGCACCTTAAAGGCCTCCACACACACACACACAGGATTCACCATTAGGGATGAGAATGCCTCCCAGCATGGTGCCAAAAACAATGCAGAGGGTGATCATCTTGAAGCGTAGAGGGGGCATGTAACCTCCGGCAGCAAATGTACCGTCTTTCTGCTGTTGGATGAAAACAGGAATCAGGTTTGAAGAAAGGAAGAAGAAATCGACCACAAAACAAAAAAAACTGATGATTTTTGTATCCTGGGGGAAAGTAAACAAAGTCTTTAATCAACATTCTACAGCTTCAAAAGTATTCACACCCATTTCTTTCAGTTTTTCCACATTGCAGCTACAAGCTTTAAAGCATTTCATCAGAGTTGTATGCAGAATACCTTTTTTAACTTATATTCTATTATTTATTTTTTTATGTCCTTTGCATTTGTGCAGCATTCTTTGTAGTTTTATGTCATTTAAAATGATTAATAAACCAGTGGTACGCTGTGTTACTGTTCAATGAGGCCTGCATTTTGTATTTAGCTTTTCTGAGTCATTATTTGTTGTTATTTCTGGACAATTTTATTTTTTTATGAGCTTCATACATCTACAAATGTTTCAGCGAAGCTACTGAAGCTCAGTCCGACTGATTGGATGGCGTCTTATCCGGAAGCTTCAAGTACTGCACCATCAAATAGGTTTGCATTTTTTTCATAACCAAACTCTAGCCCTGTTTCATCTAAAGCTCACATCACACAAACATTTCAAACAACTTTTAAAATCTATATATATATATATATATATATATATATATATGAATCAGATTTGTTTCGATCCAGTGGAGCGGATTAACCAAGCGATGCACGCTCGTCAGTAGGGGTGTAAATAATAATCATTTTGTATCGATGCATCGATCCAACAGCTGACGATCCGATGCATCGATACGTCCGCAAGACTATCGATGCATGTTTTTTTTTTTCCTCCGGTCTATTTTTATCCATTTGCTCCTGTTAACATGTTTTTGTGTAATTGTGTAAGTTGATGGAATTTTTCGGGTTCCAATAACCTTTTCTTTAAAATGTGCATAAAGAAATACGGATAAAAATAGCTTCTATTTTAAACTTAGTGACCCTTCATGAAGCCGTTTATTTGCTATGTTCTTTCCAGATAATTTGAATGAACACTGACTGAGCTACACACAGGCGGACTATTAAGATAAAATTACAGGAGGAATCAAATTCACAATGCACTGAGTTTGATTTGTATATTAAAATATGAGTAAAACCTTCAACTTTTCTATTTCCTTTACAATCATCAATCGCTTTATAAATCACACGAAGCTCTGATAAAAACTTACGAAATATAGAATTTGATGTGTCCCAACGAAAAGAAAGATAATGCTGCAATTTTAATACTTATTCAAGGCAACTTTAACAGAGAAATAAAGCATCCAAACAGCCTTCTGGAAGAAAGTGGTTAAAAATGATTTCTGACGCTACCTGCTGCTCAAAAAGCATGGTGTTAATAGCCTGGCGGCAGGGCAGGATCATCATGGGAAATCCTACGGCCACAGACATCATGAAGCCCACGCGGATCATTTCTGTCACCAGGTTGGACGGAAAGTTCATCAGCACGTTGCCTTCAATGTTCTCTGTGAAGCTGACGTAGCCGAAGAAGCCCACCTGCTCAAGGATGAAATGATGGACAAGGAAACTAAATTCAACTAAAAGTTTTGGTTTTTGTTTTCCTTGATCTTATGAGAAAGAAAAGTGAGAATGGCAGGAGTGATGAAAAGGGGCCGGCTCTACTCACGGTGATGTAGAAGATCGTGACCACGTTGAGGGCGGAGGTGAAGATGGTGCTCATGCGTTTGACTGATGGCTCATCCAGGCTATCGTACGTTGGCAGCACTTGTCTGTGAAGGACAAACGGGCCAAAACAACAAACTGGGCATGCAGCCTAAAACAAAGCCCCGCTGGAGCTTCTGTTGTGTTTGCTACATGCTAATCACGTCAGAAAGTGCGCTTAACAAATGTTCAGGAAAATGTTTCTGTCCATGAAAACCTTCTGAGCAACTTATTCCAGAATAAACACTTGGATCGGCTCTGATTTAAGGAGCGGACTCATTAGTGCTGCTCACTGCTCAGATGAAGCATCTCTGTCAGACATCTCAGATCTCATCATTTCACTTATAAAGTTACGTTTTTATCAGGTTCAAGGAGCTCACCTCAAATTTTATTTTCCTCTTAATGTGATGAGAGATAAAAACTTTGTTTAATCTTTTAACAAAAACGCCCAGATAAAAACAGCTGTTTAAAAACCGAGGTGACTAAACTGGTTGTTCTCTCAGGATTCTGCAGACTGCTGTTTTCAGTCTGAAAGTTTCTGAATCACTTCATGTATATTAGGAAACAAAACTAGGGCTTCCTAACTTGCTTTAAATCTTAAACATAAAATAAAACATCTTACAGCAATGTCAGAAACACAGAAAAAGATAAATTAAATAACCTTCACTAATAATACTGCATGGGTATTTGTAATTCCACTAAATAAAACTCTAACCTTTTCATCTTTTTTGTATTTCTTTACAGTAAAAAGGTGAAAAACAGCAATAAAACATACTTATTTGGCTGCAGAGATGTTTGAACTCTAAAAATACACAGATTCCACAACAGCTTCTTCCCAACCGCCATCAGACAGCTGAACTGTTGAGAAAACTGGGCCAACTTCACTCAAAGAGATGTTTCTAGAGGTCATCAAAGGTCAACCAGCCCCCCCACTTTCTTCAAATTAGACAAAATTGGTGTCAAACGTTTGTGTTATGTTTGTACAGCAAAACTTTTTGTTTGTGCCGCTATCATTTTTTAACAGTTTAAAATCATAGAATCATAGGTTAGCAACTTATAATTTATATGAAAACAAAATTCAGAATGAACAAATGTTCCCTGACCTTTGATGGCTTCTACAAACAATTATTAATATCATTAAAATGATAGCAGAACAAAAATGTATATATTTAAAAATATGCATTTGTAAATGTTTAATATGTTTATTTTTTATATTTAAAATTAATTTTAAAATTTAATATTTTTGTATGGCAAAAATTTTCATTTCTACTGATGTCTCTAACGATATTAATAATATTTCGTAGAGGTCATCAAAGGTCACTTAACATCTGTTTTTGCTGTACAAACGTTTGACACTAATTTTGTCTGGTTTGAAGAAGGTGGGGGGGCCAACTTCACTCAGGTCTCTAAATCATGTCCCAGACTCTGCATCACACAAACACTGCATAATTGCTCCATACATAGTTATTGCTCTGAACTTCCATATTAATGCGTTTTTGCACCATTTCTTTTCTCCCACACTGTTTACATTTCATCATTGCTGAACTTTAGGGAATGAAAATGCTCTGAAAGCTGTACAAAATGAAGTTTCTTTTTGTATCCACTCTGTGGATACAAAATGGCAATTAAGTTGTCTAAGTCTTAAAATAGCCTCATCTGACTTTTATTTCAACACCTGACAAATAACTAAAAACAATTAGCCTACATTCCTCAGTAACAGCAGCCACACTTGTCTGTTGTCTGTACAACATCATATGAGCACGTATTTACAGTGCTAATGCTAAACACTGACATATCATTAAATATTAACTGTCTTTTTCTACTTTGTTTCCCCTTTATTGAAATCTTCCCTGCATTTTCCATTAAGCCACTGAAATAAGTATGGCGTCACATTTTTTTCAAAAATAAACATACTCGCATGTATGTTCATGTTACTTATGTAACAACTACCAGGAGGAGGCTAACAAAGTAGCTTAACATACATGCAAGTATGTTAATTTTGCTCACGGGCATTTTTTAAATAAATGTGATGCCATAAATAAGTAACTGATTTGGCCATCAGAGGTAACCAAGCTACTACATTCTTTGCATGTAATGCATGAGATTTGATTCATAATTAGATTCTTAGAGGTAATATGATAACAATTGCATCCAGGTAGTATTATTGTAAAACTGCTCACAATTACACTGCAATGATGACAGCAGTTTGATACAGTGCCGACCTAACAAAGACCGATGCTAGTCTGGGTCGGATAAGATGCGTTTGCTCGTTTTTCAGAATCCATCCAATTTTTCTGTCGATTTCTCAGTGCATTTTGGAAACATGGTCATGGTCACCAAAATTATATCAGAGTGCATTTTTGTGATCTGTAATCATTTTAATCATTGCTCTTAAAAACCTGAAACAAATCCGCAAGAGAATGATCTCATATTAATGTCTAAAGGTGAGCTTTTCTAAAGTAGGATAATATGACAGGTGACCTAATAATAGAACACCACAAGTATTGCCTAGTAGATACTAAACCAAAAAGCTTTCAATTGTGCTAATGTCGGCGTCCTCTAAGTTAATAGCCCCATTTACACCATCCTTCTGAACCTGTTCATAGATCGGTCTGAGCACGGTAACCGAGATCACAGTTGAAAGTAAACGGTATGCAGAACTGAACCAGACCGCGCCAGAAACGACTGAACATGGTACTAGTTGATCAGTGTGTCTCTGTGGCGCGTTTCAGTCGTGGCTCAGTTCTCTGATAACAAAGAGCAGATGAGCAGAGCCCGTCATCTCCTGACAGTCAGCCTGCGTAATCAGGACATTTCAGAAAAATAAACACATCCTTACCATAGCACATGATTTCTAGTGATGATTCTGCTTAGCAGTGTGATGAACCTTAACTCCTGTCGTTGTTTCCTGCATCTGTAAAGCCTGATTAGACTATTGTTTCTCGTATCCGCTTCCCAAAACCCGACTGTCAAGTAAATTTACTGAAAGCTGTCTTCTTCGCCTGACTCTCCACAAACTTCCTAAATGTTACAGGTCCCGCCATGTTGATGTACTTTATTACCTCTAGAGAGCTGTAGTACCGTGGATCATCACTAGGAGGTGAGGAACCGTGCTAGCGTGGTGTGTAAACAGTGGTAAGGAACTGAGTTCGCCGCGGTTTTCATAGGGTGGTGTAAACGGGGCTGGCATCTCAAAGCTCAGCAATCAGAGATTTTCAAGTCAAGATATAAAGAGCAGATTAAGCAGCAGAAATGTGTCAATTATTGCAAAATGTAAGTAAATGAAAAACATGAGATGGATGTGATGATGGGTGTATAAAATGCTGGCTGAGGTAAAATCTCTCTCTCTCTCTCTCTCTCTCTCTCTCTCTCTCTCTCTCTCTCTCTCTCTCTCTCTCTCTCTCTCTCTCTCTCTCTCTCTCTCTCTCTCTCTCTCTCTCTCTCTCTCTCTCTCTCTCTCTCTCTCTCTCTCTCTCTCTCTCTCTCTCTCTCTCTCTCTCTCTCTCTCTCTCTCTCTCTCTCTCTCTCTCTCTCTCTCTCTCTCTCTCTCTCTCTCTCTCTCTCTCTCTCTCTCTCTCTCTCTCTCTCTCTCTCTCTCTCTCTCTCTCTCTCTCTCTCTCTCTCTCTCTCTCTCTCTCTCTCTCTCTCTCTCTCTCTCTCTCTCTCTCATTTCCTGCTCTGTGCTTTGGGAGGGGCTGGGTGTGCAGAGGGGGCCATTGACACATTAACCAGTAAATTTACAGGCTTCATAAATAATAGCCAGTGCCTGACAGGTTTTAGAGCATTATAAACTTTCCTGGCAGACTCTTTTTTTCTCCCCTCGCTTCCTTTCTCTGACACAAAAGAGGAGCCACGGAGCAGAAATAAGAGAAGGAGCAAGAAGCCATAACTTTCTCCTTCTCTTGTTCTTTCCTAGCCTGTCTCACTTTCACACACTCTGATTTTTATTAGCTTCAGCCTTACCAGGATGCTATTCTTGGCATTTTTTTATGTGCAAGCCATTAAATCTTTCAGCCAACATTAAATAAAACAGTAGGCATCTAATGGTCACTGAACCGTCCTTATTCAAAGGCTGATGTCCTCTGATCAAACTGAGGACAGATGATGGAGAAATTCACCAAAGCTAAAGGATTTTTTCACCACGCAGCATGTTATAACATTCCCCTTAACTTTCTGTAGAAGACGAGTTTATTTTGGTGTATAACAATATTTAGATGAAAAAATTATTATAAAAGCATTAAAAAGTGAGAAACTAAATACTCTAAAAACACAGATTTTTTTGGGATGTTTAAACATTTTATGACAAATTAACTCTTGTTCTCAGGATTTGCTTTGGATGCAATAGCTGTTAGCAATATCAACTGATGCTTCATTCTGTAGTTGTTCTAAGTAGTGAAGAAAGGATCAACCATGATGGATCATTTCAAACCCCTTCTTCACATAAGCAATACAGCTGAAACAGGGACTGAACTGATCATAGGAGCATGGCTGACAGCGCGTGTGGATGCAGCGGCATAGAGCTTCAACATAGTCTATGCTTCAGCAGGTAGCAAACATTTTAAAAAGCTGCGAGAAAGTGGTTCCACAACTCTGTACATCAAAGGTCCCACATTATTAACTTCTTAAACATTTTGTAAAAGTCATATGTGTCCTGAGGCCTTTGTTTAAGGTTCACAAAAGAAAACAACTTTTCACCTCTTAGCTTATGTGTGCTCTAAATGGGCTGTTGGAAAAGCTTTCCCCTTATGACATCATAAGGGGAATGCTTTTCCAATGATGGGCTTTGGTAAAGCCTGCCAGCCTAACCTTTGACATATTTTCCTGCACAAACTGCAAAAACATGCTCTAGGTGCCTCATTACAAATATTTTTTATTTTCAAATGTAAAATAATTTAAGCTCCTAGTTTTCTTTTGCTCAGCTCCTGACAGTCCAGCTGTCCAATTCATTTTTCCTTACAAATCCTTCTTTTCTTGAATCAACTCACTGTGAGGCTAAAATTAAAACCTTTTCTAATTTTTAGCAAACTAACACATTTATCTTTTGGTGTTTAGAACTATGTATCATGTCATAAACCTGGGCTAACAGAACAGGAACCTACCCTACAGTGTATTTTTAGACCGTATAGCACTCTGGTCGTTTACATTTTGTTGTTTCTGAACATTTTTTGACAGACCTGGATGATTAGTTTAGAATAAAAGCTTCTAGAAGTGTTCCTTAGTTAGCCGTAACATATGGATATTTCAGCAAGTTGTTCTCCCAACTACAAGGTGGCGAGGCACAGTTAGAAGTTACTGCAGAACCTTCAGTATTTTTGTTGAGGTCATGGCAACATCCCTTTTACAAAATCTTTTATATTCATGGGGAATTAGAAGTCCTCCAATTTTCTTCAGTTTTTATAAATGCATTAATTGGACCAACTTGTTAATTGATTAGCATAAGGACATATGAATAAAGCTTTCTGTGCCCTACTCCATAATAATATCTTTGAACAATTTCTGATTCTTTATAAGCTCAAGGAAAACTATGTCTTTTGTTTAAGAATGGAAAGAAGATATAAAACCCAATTAAACAGCTGAATTTTATTTTAGGTTAACCTGATTCAATATAATTGGAGACAGGAGGATAAAATACAACTTTGTGCTTTAATGGAATAAGAACCTGATTGACTGATGAATTGAATTCAGGGTTTGCACTAATGGAAAAAAGTAGATAACTTCTTGAATTACTTCTTTTTAAGTTTGCTAGAGCAGCATGTTAACGCTTGGATAATGTGTTAGCAACCATCAGAAGTAGAACTAAACATCTGAATTGAGCCTCTAAGCATAGCTGGTGTACTGAATATCAGGCTCAGGGTGGGACTGCGCTCAGTTTTTCCAGGTTGGAACTAAATTCTTTTCTGGTTTTATTACATTTTCTTCCACAAGTTTTCTGCTCCAGAGGCCTTGAAATTGAAACTTGGGAATTTAGAGGCTTAAAATTAACAGTTTCTTTGACATTTTGATGGATGAACTGTTCATACAAGAAATGTAGACCAGATTCCCAAACTTCTGCCATCGCCTCCTTACAGAGGAATATTCTTGCTGCACACCTTGCGTGTTTTTCCAACAGGAGCCAAATGTTCCACATTATTCGGCCTCCATAAGCACAGGGCCAGCTCCCACCACGTCATAATAGTGATGTTAAGTAATGTTCTAGCTGAAAATAAACACATTTCATGAACGTAATAAAAATCCAATGTGCTAAGAGCTGTTTAATCAGCCTGTGAATACATCAGTGTGTCTGTAAGGTGGCGGCAGGCCAATGTGTTGATTAGTGGTTTGGCTGAAGCTAAGTGAGAGCTCGCCTCGCTCAGTATGACCACAGGCCAAGAAATCCCCCCTGCCACATATCACTTAGCACAACGAGTGCTAAACAACGCTCACACAGAGACACACAAGTGTAGGTTTTCCTGGTTTAGGGTGACATGCAGATGCCCACCACACCATGTTTAGTTAGCTCATGTCATTACATTAATTAAAGTCAGTTTTAGGTCTCCAGGCTTACAGCCACCCACTCCAACCAGCTTTACTCACTTACTCTGGCACAAAACAAAACAATACGCCACAATCGACCACCCAAACATCTGTGTCTTAATGATCTCACCAGAACACTTCTCCAACACCACATTCAGATCTAACACAAACTCTGTTAATTTAGTCGGTTCAGGCTGCCCACAACCCGCCGAAGCCAGAGCAAACCCAGAGCAAGCAGCCATCATAGAGCGCAGCACAAAGGAGCCACTGATTGAGCAGGCAGAAGGGTGAAAGGCAAGAAATGCAGAGATTTAGAGAAGCTACTGTGGTGCGATGGCTAATGGATCAATGGATCACTATGTTAGCATTTAAAAGCACAGAGAAAACGGTTTTAGATTTTTATTTAGAGAAGGCAGACATTAATATGGATGATTAGTCAACTATATGAAGCTGTTTCGTAGCATAAATAATACTGACAGACTTAACCTTAATCAGAAATGTACATAAATAAATAAAAACAATCTTAAATTATTCAGGATTTTCTTTAAGGACTAAAAATGCACCAATATAAAAATATAAGAATATAAGACCACTGAAACCTGACTGGTTCTGGAGTTTGAAACCCTTATAGTGAGATACCAGGGTACCAGTTTCCTCCAACTGTATGGAGCAACCCTCCCCCACATGTTGCTGCACCCTACTGATTAACTGAATTCTAAATAAAAAATGCTTTATCTAGCTAATAACACAAATTTGGAAGCGCCCTTTTAGAAGTTTTAGAAAGTTCCATCCATCACTTTTTACTGTATATTTTACACATGCTGTTATCCAGACTACAAACTGTATTAAAAAACGACTTAAATATAATTTATTTGTTTGTGTCTTGTTAGCCACTCTCTTGTTCAGGGGTCGGCAAACAGGACATTACAGCGAACTCACAGTTTTACATCTGAAGCTGCGATTCAAACCCGTTTTACTGTCATATCTAATTATAATAAAAAAACAATAAGAACAATAATAAAAGATTTCTACCAAATTTAGGATCAATAAAATAGACAAAATAGTTCCGGCAAACTTTTAAAATATTGAGGGAAAGTTGAAATCAGTAATGTAAGCTTGAATTGCATGAACGTATCCTTGTAGAGAAACAAGTTTTTGTAAACCTATAAACTGCTTATTGAAACTTTTTTTTTTTATTTCCCTAAAATCTTTCAAGTTCTAACAATCAGTATTCCCTTTTATTTTAGCATTAAAATTAGGGCTGAAATAATAAATCAGAATTGATAAATTATTGAAATAATCTAAATAATTATACATATTGCAGTTAAGATAAAAAATATAACTTTTTCATGCATCAATATGTTATATCCCGAACTCCACTAATGGAAAAGCTGGTTTAATTCAATAAGAAAATCTGGTTTAAGGAACCTTTGGCTCTCCGATTATTAATTGAAACAATAAACGACAGAATAGTCGATTAGCTAAATTATTGTTAGTTTCAGCCCTAATCAGAATAAAGTTGCATCTCCGTTTTAAACAAAAAGATTAGATCATTTTTTATTTGAAGTATGATCTTGTGATGTCATTTCAACCACAGCCTATGATGTTCTATTATAAAATACATTTCCAATCTACAAAGCTGCAGCTGAACAAAAACGTTTCATATCAGTTTTCTGATGTTAACCCTGGATGGCGTGAGGAGTACTTACGACTGGCAGGCGAAGGCCATCCCACAGATAGGGATACAGCGAAAAACACCCTCCCAGCGCACCAAATAGACCTGCCCTAGCCACCAGCCGCTGAGCAGCCCATGTTTGAACGAGGATAGCACCATCTGAGGGGAAGGAGGTGGGGAGGAGGGGGAACGGGGGTTACAGCCCAGACCAAGTGAACACAAATGGACGGAGGACACAGAGCGAAAAACAGGAGGAGGATGGTTTCCATTTGGACAGCTCCCTGATTTTATGACAGTTTTAATTAAGGGAAGAAAATCACAGAACATGTATGAAGGAAATAACAGAAAACTGCATTCTGAGCGAAAAACCTGCCGGGCTCAAAATCAACAGAATGTAGAATGAATATGATCAAAACTGGAAATAATTTAAAGAGTTTTAAAGAAAATCTCACAGGTTTTTCACCAGCATGCGTTTCCCACATCTTGCTCCTTTAAGTGCCTAAAGAATAAAAATCCACCACATCCAAAACCCTGGATGCAGGGCAGCAATGAAACATTTCATCAAACCCCTCTGCCTTGTTACTACTGCCACCAAACACACACAGCTCAAACCAGGAAAGGATGGGGATGAGGGGGAGGAGGTTCAGGTGGGGACATGAGGAAGAGTTCCAGGGAGAGCAAAGCTTCCTCCGCTCTCTGCCCCTGCCGTGCTTTATTTGGAGGGGGGGGGGTTACTTACGGGTGACAGCAGAAGGTTGTGGCGATAATGGGCAGGCACTGAATGACGCCCCTGAAGCGCCACAGGTGAACGTGCTCCACCCAGGAGCCCGTGATTATGCCGTAGCGCAGAGACGACAACACTATCTACATCACCAAAAGCAGAGACAGCGGTGGGAAGGAGGGAGGGAGGTCAGCACATGTTAGGTCACGGAGAGGAAAGGAAGGGAGGCAGGACAAGAGAGGAAAAAAGAGGAGAAAAAGAAGGGGCCGTTAAATGGAGAAGGGTGAGAGAGGAGATCATTGAGGGGTGGATGGAAAGAGGGAGGGAAGGAGATACATCTATTAGAGGGTCAGAGAATCAGGCCGGGTCGGTTCTAAAGCTGGACTCACCTCTCCGGGCTTCTAGGTTAAAAACAAGCCCCTCACTTCATATAACACAGAGAGAGCAGGACAGGGACTTTAAACTGAGCTGTATGCACAAACTGTGTTTTCACTTAAAGAGAAAATAAACTAAAAATCACACCAGGCAGAAAACCGATGCTGCAGGGGAGCTCTGCAGCAGAGGAAACTCTGTCCTCAGGTAACCTGCTCTACTATAGCAGCACTTCTAAAAGATAAATGCAGAAATGGATGTTCCCTGCAGTCAGAATGGAGTTAGGAACACTCTAAATGTATTTGTTTAGATGAACCACAGAGGGATTCTGGATCACTTTAAAGTCATCCACAATCATCAGATTCTAGTTTGGACATAGATACTTCCTCCAAACAGGATTTGTCTGATATTGTTTACAATTTTTTGAGCCTAACGTATTTAATATTCCATATAACAATTAAAATTTCTTCATTTTTCTAAACTTCTTCAGCCTACAGTGCCTTGTAAAGTTTTCATTCTTCCGGGACTTTTTACATTGTCTTACATTTTAACTACAAACTTATCTGTACTTCACAGAGATTTTGTGCAACTGACAAGCTAATCAAAATATAAATGCTCTGAGGGGTTTCCTTTTTTTTTCTTACAGCTAAAATTGTGAAAAGCGAGCCAGTTTTGATGTTTTTGAATTTAGCCTTTATCTCTTGTAAACTTACAAAAATTATTTAAAAAAAAATCTAATATTGATCTAAGATGGAAAAACCTTTTTTCTTTAAATACACCAGAACCCCTAAAGCAGTAAAGCTTCACCTGGTTTAAATCCCGCAATAAAATCTACTAATAATGCCTTTTACATTCTGATTATTGTTTGATTTTTTAAAAATCTAATTGATTTTTAAATTAAAAAATAAAAAATTATTTGCAGACATATTTCTCGCTGTACTATGAACCTAAATCTATTTCCTTGTTTTTACCACCTTGGCCAACAAAGCTGGATTTAATCATTTAGACCAGCTTTCACAGCAGTCAAACAGTTCTTTGCAATACTAGCAAATAGTGACGTTGTAATAATGATAAATGTGCAATAATGTGCCAGCCTATCTTAGCTGGCTGTGGGCTTTGACTAGGCCATTCTAACACATGTTAACACTGACAAACATGCAGCTCTGATGTTCAGTTAAAAGAATATTCTACCAGAGCGGCGTCTCTCTGCATCTCCTCCAGGACTGCTTCTGATTATTCCTCTCTTTCCCTGGACAGTCGATGTATTCTTAAAAGTTCGCTTTATAACCTAAGCAGCTTTAAACTGCTCCATCATTTTCTCCCTGACCTGTCCTTTGTGTTCACTGGTGCGCATGACTCTTTTTGCTCATTAAAGTAACAACAAACCTCAGAGGCCTTCGCACAAAGGTACCATTTAGAGATGAAATAACACAGATTTCTGTTTACTAAAAACGTAGCAGTGGGCTGCAGAGGAGTTTTATAAAGGAGTATCACGTTAAAGAGGGATGAATACAGAAATGGAAACACCATCATTTCCTTCCTCTTTGCAAGAATCTGCAACTCTCTGCTGGTTGCTCAACTAAAAGTGAAGTTTGTGTTTGCAATGTTAAAAAAAGGAGGAAACTACCTACAAGGATCTGTAACTGTAGGTTTAACTATTTCACAGCTTCCCCTACAATGAAAGTGAGTTGCAGCTTACATTTATCAGCAGAGAAACCCTCAGCGCGACTCTTTCATTTCCTCTACAAAGTTTTCTATAAGGTTTTCTTCTTGGCTTCAGACTCTGATCAATGCAGAGTGGATAATTAACTAAAATACAGTTAAGTTCAGTAGAAACAGGAACGCAACGATGGCTCTAAAATATGTCAGTAAAGCTCAGCTTTCATTAAAGCACGTTTAACAGTGAAACCACATGTGGAAAGACGGATCATTTAAAGAGAACATGTTAGAAATGTTGTGGTATGAAATACCACAGCTTTCCTTTAATAATAATAAAGAAAAAACAGAAAAATCAAGAACTCACTTTATTTTATCGACTCTGAGGTTATTTCTTAGACGGATTGGAAGTGAGATTTAAACCAAAAACCAGCGCAGCAACTGTTTTCTGCCTGAATGATTTAGTGCGGATTTGCTCTTTAGAAACAGGAGCAAGAAAGCTTCTTGTTAGTAACAAATGCATCAGTACAACAGAGCAAATAAGAAGTGAACCCACAAGGCAACCAAACAATATTTGTAAAAACAAAACTAGAAGCACAACTGTAAAGAAAAACAAGATTCATTTTCTTTTAAAAAAATCAACATTTTAAAAGACCAGAGACAAATATAACAATAAGTATTACAAGATGAACCAAAAAAGAATAATCTGCAACATTTAAATGGCTGTTAGTCCATGATGGTGGTAAAAGTTATGATTTGCACTTGCAAAAACTCATTTGAAGACGTGTAAAGCATAATTTTAAAGACAGCAACCGTTGCTGCATTGGTTTCCATTCAGCAATTCAACAATAACTGAAATACTATGACTGACAAATGATCTCTGACAGATTCCGACAACATTTCTGCAGCATTTTTATCTACTTTGTTTGGCGTTGCAGCCATAGATGGAATTATCTTTTTCATACTTTTATCTTTATGTTTGATCAAAAATAAGGCAATGAAACAAATTCAGCTTTTTCAACAACTTCAAATGTTGTTAATTGAGTAACAGCATTCATGATAATTACTGCTTCATTATGCAACCTGGTAGGATTTTACAGGGGAGCATTCTTTACCAGTCAGGATAAAAATTGGCTGATTTTCATAGCTGGAAATGACTGTTTTGTGAGATTTAATCCAACGTGTTCTGACTTTTGCGTTTTTATTCAGTTTCATTGATAAAAATGAAAAATAAAGGAAAAAAGGTTTTTCTATTTTTCAAAAATAGAATTAGGCTCCAATATTAACTAAAGATTCTGACACGTGTACAAAAAGGATTCAATAATTTTGTGTTTTGCTTGTGCAAACCATAACCTCACCAACCTTACTGATTCTGCTGACATGTAGCGAACAGAGAGAGCAGCTGTGTGGGTTTGGGCTCACCGTGAACATGAACAGGGTGTAGAACATGAGCGCCATGGCTGAAAAGGACTGGATGGAGGACATCATGTTCCTCTGCAGGCTCAGTGGGAGGACGACTACCAGCGAGACGGCAATCAACAGAACCACACGGAAACTGCCCGTCACCTTCAAAGAGCAGAGCAACAGCTTAATCCCAAGAATTTCAAACACTTCACTAAACAGTCCGGAGTCCAGCTCCCATCCTGGGACCTCTGTTAGAGGTTTTGAACATTTTTATAAAGAAAGAATGAATCTGAGAGAGGGTCCAAATTAAGTCAAACCTGTAAACCTAACAGCTGAGCAAAGAAATTAGAGCCCAAGTCAGCGATGACAACATAGAAGGCGATACAGGTCCCAAGCATCAGACCGATCATACTGCAGACACAAACAAAAGAAAGATAATCAACCGTTAACTTTATATTCTATTCACAGATATATTATTAGAACATAAAACATATTTAACTTTTCACATAAAGATAGACCAATAGTATTATTTTGACATCAATCTAACCAATCCCTGATATGTGCTTGTGATGGCTGCTTATACAGCCACACAGATGTGGTAACACATATAATTTTATATTCATTATTAGGAATTTATTTATCACCATTGCATTGTATTTCTAAATAAGTGTGCCTACTCCGTTTACCCTGTTCTGTTATGATTCTGTTTATTTTATACTCTGTTTCAGTTGCTCTGAGGAACCAGCAGGTGGCCGAGGGGCTGAGCTGATTTGGACCATACCACATCATGCAATGGGGGGGAATGGGGTTTTGCTTCATTTGGGTTATTTAGGTTTGTGTATGTTTTGTCCCATGTGTTTCTTTTGTGGACTAATGAGCCATTATTTAAAGGGGAACACTGTGTTGTTTGTTTTTTTTTTACATTGGCCCCTTGATTTTACGTTATTACATCATGTTCTACTCACCCATATGAGTTTAGTGTCATTTGGAGCCGTTCTGAAGATATTCCGTTAGGTTATATTCAAGTAACGTCTTCCTATGGGCAACGACTTGAAGGCACAAACTAAACTGTTCATCATTTATTCTTTATGCTACGCCAGCATTCATAACATGTAGGCCATTCACTGTCCCCCAGACATCAGCGGTTATTTTTTTTATTTTCTATTTTTTTAAAACAAAGCAGAGTACGTATGACGTCAACTGCTGTTATGACTGGAGTTGTGACAGGCAGCCCGGGCCACAGGCGGCTACGTTCTACCCCTTCTATTCATTCTAGCTAATCTGAATTGTTCCATTTGGAGAGCGAGATCATCTGTGGTAGCAGCACTAGACATCTTCCAGGCATGTGAGGAAAACTAGCAGCAGTTCAGTGGACAGGATGAAGGAACGGTAGCCGGCGCACGCTGATGACGTCATACACACTCCGCTTTGTTTTTTTCTTTTTGTTTTAATAAGGCAGGTCAGTTTTTTTTTTTTTTTTAGTTCTGTTACTGGTTATTTTGGGTAGTTTTTGTTACTTTGACCTGATCTTTGGATACATTTTTACTTGTGACATTTTATCTTTTTTGGGTTTAATAAAAGAACCCTTTTTTTTTTTAAATACACCTGACTGTCCTTACTGCTCGGTCTGTCACAGTGCTGCAGATATTTTATGTCAGATCCTTGGAGCAGATTTCTTCCGCTATTTAAAGCTACAGTGTGTAATAATTACAGGCATATAAAGTCAGAAATTTAATATATTATACATAACTATGTTACTTATCATCACCTATGAGCTCAGCCTTTTAACCATAATATTTGCGTTGCCTTAGAATTCGTTATTTATAATTACATAGGAGCGGGTCTCGCAGCCATGGAGGCAGACATCTTTGCGCTACGGCAAGCGCAGAGGCAACAAACTAGCGATTGCGAGATCTCCCATGACGCTCAAAAATAACTACGGCAAGTTGAGAGAGATTAACTGAGACGGTACTGAACAGTAGATGGCAGTATTATGCCTGAGAAGCGTTTAGTCTGCCTGAAACCAAAGAAGAAGAAGAAGCAGGTATACTGCGCCTCAGTAACAAGAAAGGTGAACAAGGCGGCAGGCGTGAGTGACTTTGCAAACTGTTTGGCACTGTGTGGCCAAACATCAGACGAATGGAGGATCATGCCTACTCTGTATCACAACGAAAAGCGGCGGACACCGAACCCCCGTCATCTAAGAAGCGGAAACACGACGAGAATAAACGCAAGCGTGACAAGAAACGGCAAAAAACACGGATCAACATTGGCACGGCATTTACACGATGGAAGTCACTGATGGAGGAAGAAGGTTTTCAAAGTGACGCTCAAGTTGCCAGTTTTCTCTTGGACAGGTAATTAATCCTACACACACAATTGTCTAATATCACTGCAGTTTTTGGAGTACAGGATGCTCAGACCTGTCTAAAACAATAACATGCTGCGTGATGATGCTGTTACTCTCCAGTATACTTATTCAGCAACGTCCCTGATGTTTCACAGGTAATGATTCAGTAATTTTCTGTAAAATAATTTTCTGGATATATACCTCGGTTACTTCTCTCCGGCTCCTTTGGAGATCTTCAAGCCTTTCCTCCTCTGCTCTCACCCCGCTGGCTCCCCTCTCTCGCCTGGCCCTAGCTGCACGGCCTCCCTGCCTTCGCCCTCGTCCTCTCCCTCTCCCTCGCGTTGTAACCCCCGTGCCACCAAAATGACTTGGACTCTGTAAACGGGGGATATATATTCTTCCAGCGAACACAATCTCGCTGTTAAACTAATGACTACAATTACTTCGTCTGTTTATATCACCATGCAAAGCAGCTCACCAAGACGTCACAACGATGTAGAAAAAATAACGGGTATATTTATTATCTTAAGTCTACATGAAATCTATACCCTACACAGACTAATGAAATACTATCTGTAAAATTATCTATGTAAACAAACCTCATCACTTGAGAGGGTAGGTGATGTGGACGTCGTAGAAGAAATTTTGTCCCGTAACGCTCGCCGTACTGTTGGGGGGGAGAAGCGGTGGGGGGGAGATGTTCATGTTGCTGCGGTCTGTAGTCTGACCGCTAGATGTCGCTGAAAATTACACACTGTAGCTTTAAATTATAAATGTGATAACAAATATTTCACAGGTCTCAGTTTAAAACAAATAAGAATCAAATCAATAACAAATCAAACAAAACATTAACAATTTATAGCAAGGAGGCGAGGGGCAATGCATGCATCAAACTAACCTAATGGTATGGCTGCTGAATGCAGCAACCAGCCTGTAAATGCATGCATGTATTGGCCAAAATGCTAATATCGGCCAAAAAATATCGGGCTGACAACGTATCGGGCTATTTCCATATAGAAAGAATATATAAGCGCATCATTGAGTGAAACTTGCCTCGTCTCTACAAGCGTTTTTCCAGGTTTCCCGTAAGCATGGAAAGCTGCAGAGAAAGGAAAGGATCAAGGTTAACGATGCCAAGCCAAAGAGAAAAAAAGAATCTGACACCAACTTGTTTCAAAATGAGCTAAAATCATCCAGTTGTTCACTTTAAAGCATCCTGCTCAACAATAAGATGATTGGATTGTTTTAGAATTGAAAAATAAATAAACCCAGAGTAATGCAACTGTTGTTTCAACCTCTAAACCAAGGATTACCGGTGGTTTTTACCCACCCAGTCCAGCATAGGTTCTTCGTTTGGTGTTGCTGGCGGTGTGGACCAGGAACATGCAAGACTTGTGGGTCATCCATGAACAGAAGAACAGCAACAGAGTACCCAGTACGATCCCACACTGGGAAGGAGCACAGACACTTGTTAACATTTATATCAGGACTTAGCATCCATTTCAAGCATTTTTTCCAGAATATTGACATAAGAGCTGATGAAGTGTGACAGCAATTTCTGGACTGTCAGATTTGTTTGTGTTCATTCGGTTTAAATTTAAAGAGGATAGTTTAGATTATTTTGGGGTTTCTATTAAGAGGATATAAGTTGTCACAACAATTATCATATTTATCTAATGCCAACTCTGTTCGATCAGAATGAAAAACCTTTTCAGACACTGATGAAGCTTCCTATGTGAAACTAGTTCCAAAAACAAACCTTTGCAATATCCTGATGGGTGAACAGAAATGAGGTCACTACAGTTCAGAATAGTACTATGAATAGCAAAGGTACCTATCCTGTATTTCATTACATTAAAAGGACAATGTTTAATGTGCTTTGAGGGGGATTTTAAAGGGGTGATAGAATGATTCTATAGGGTATCTAGTCCTTCAGGTCTCTGAATAGGGTGTGTAACATTGGTTGGGCTAAAAATTGAATATTTATTGTTCTATGAGCCCTAATGCAATCCTGGTTAAAAGCCCTAGAATGAAAGGACAGGTTTTCTTCCTTTTATGGTAGGATCATGATGAGCTGTGCGCTGATTGGTTGGTTTACAATGAGCAAAGCTGCTGAGCAAAGACACATCATGGCAACAAGCACTCAGTCACTGAAACATCCGATTGTTGATATGGTAGGGGGACCAGACATCCTCTTTTTCCCGGACATGTCCTACTTTTCATACCTAAAAGATGTCAGAGGGGAATTTCAAAATCGTCCGGGATTTTGGTCGACTACAGTGCAGCATGGGGTCGAAACAAGGAGCCACTGACGGAGCGACTGAACCCAAACCAGTGATGGTAGCCTGAACAACAGCGGCCAGGTGTCCTCCTTTTCATTAACCAAAAACTGGTCACTACAGATATGCTAGCACTGCTATCAACAGCTTAGCGACAGAATCATACTTCCAGCTAGTGGTTGTGATGGCCTTAATGGTTGGAACAGCCCCTTGTTTCAGTAAAAGAAGTTCAGCAAATCCTCCTTTGAACTGTCCAAGATTTGAAAGCTGTCTTCGGTAAAATGCTTCGAGCAAATGAACCTCTGAGCATCAAACTTTGCTGGGATCTACTAATAGACAAAAATAATCCATGCCTGACGAGTCTTTGGATCCTTGGGAAGACTGTGAAAATGTTCCCATTTCTCCAGACCAGTGGGCTGGTCGGTATGTAAATTTTAGGGCGTGATAAAAGTACAGGCCAAAACCGAGAAAGGCAACATCCCCAAACTGATGTCAATTCGGTGCTTCGATTGAATTCGCCCGTTTTACGGTGGAAGTTTAGAATTGTGAGATTTGCAGAGAAAGGAGGTGTTGATGGGGTTTAAACTTCTCTGTACGTCCATTTCACCCACTGAACTATCGTTATTCATCTATGACAATGGAAACTCATTTTTTCATTCTATGACCCCTTTAAGAGAAGGATTCAAAATTGATGCACAGCCACCAAACTGGGGAGATGTGATAAAAAGTTTTGACAAAGTAACTTCACTAAACATGAGGTGCATATTTATGTTTTACTTAATTAATTTAAATGATCCAGAGTGTGTAAAAAAGTTTAAAAAGTTATAATTAAATTCAATTCAGTTTATTCATATAGTGCCCATAACTGATGTTATCTCAAGACACTTATTATTCAATCAGGTCATACAGGTACAGGTGTTAAATAAAATATAGCTGATTGACTCAAGTCATTGACATTGGAAGAAAGTATTAGTTACTGATTTGACTACTTTGTTTTTTCTGGTGCATAAATACCTAAATATAACTTACAGCTTGAAGAATCTTGAAAAGGGTGATAAAGTATGATTCATTTTGTAAGACATCTAAGAAACATTGGCAGACCTAATCAGTCAACCAGTCAAAATGAGTTTCTAAATGCCACATGTTGCTTACAGTATACAGCAGGGCACCTTACAGCTATTTTTAACCCTTAATTTTTGTAAATCTAGCAATAAAATAATTTACTTTACTGCTTAAACATTTTAAAACAATGTGTCAACAACTGATATTTTGTTCAAGTAAAACTCAATAGATTTCTTATCATATTTCAAAAATGATTCAGACTGGCTTTATGCTGCAAGGTCATTGTTGTTTAGGAAAGTCAAATAATCAGACATAGCAGTTTAGTTTAGTTTATTTGGGAATAACAGATAGCTACTCCAAAGAACCAGTCTGTTTTAATATTAATGATCAAAGACTGCCCTATAAGCCAACTTCTCTTTAGGACAAAATAGTGAAGATCTCCCTAAAACCACGAAAAACAAAAAAATTATTTAAAAATTACAAAAGAATAGCTGTAGATGTTGTAGCACTACTCCACATTTTACTATTTCAATGCTATTACCTCAAAAGAAATGTCAAACCCCCCTTCAAAATGTGCAAAGGAACAAAAAACAAAAACATGTGCCAGGAGAACATTCAAGGTTCAGAAAGAAGCTGCTGATAAGACTTGTGACATCAACAAATTTTTTGCAAGTGGAAAATCCAGTTCAGCACCGGCTCCCACCAGTAAGAGCAGCTGTTGCTGGTTAAAAACGACCAGTATGGTAACGGCTGGACAGTCCGACATTCTATCACCAGCAACAAGCATAAACGATCACATGGACACATCTAACGGCAATTCAGAGTGACTGGCTGACCATGTATGTGCATGTTTTTTTGAACAGTAAGAGGAAGCTGGAACCTGGTAAAAGTGCATTTATCATGCAGCGGAAGAATAAGAAAACTATTCACTCAAAGGCCCCAAGACTCTATATCTATGTATATATCTTTCTGTCTGTCTGTATATATATATATATATATATATATATATATATATATATATATATATATATATATATATATATATATATATATATTTTAAATTGATATAGATATATATATAGTTTTTACCTTTTAATTGACTCTACAAATCACACCTCGGTAGCTTAGTACCGATGCTTCCATATGCCTCTAGCCTATTTACTTTCATTTATTTTGTAATGGAAGTTCCCACACCGTTTGGCAGATTTGACATCAAGCACCTCTATATTAAGTGATTCCAACCTAGCAAACAAACTAACAGTAATATTCAAGATGGATTCTGTTGATATGAAGAAGTGCCTGCCATCCAGTTCAGTTCAGCTCAGACACCCATGATGGCAACTCAAGGTAAGGTGGAAAAAGGAGCAAGCATAAGAGTGCTGCAGTTCTGTGTTTTGGCCACAGGTGGCAGTATCATTAGAAAACTCTGTAATGTCTATTTAAGCTTCAAAGAGCTACAAATTGTTATATACTTATGAATCACTTGTGAATCAATGTTTGTTTTTTTTTTTATTTCTCCAGCTAAAGATGGTCTAAATGTAACTTCCTACAGCACCTTTACAAAATCAATTTTGTCTTTATATATAAAATGATTGGCTACTAAAGTGTTTGACAGATTAAAAATCAAATATTTTAGGTTTTAAGACTTTAGCATATAAAAAAAAAGTGCAGTCTAAAAAAGCAAAACACAAACACCTACATCAACGCATACACCTGCAGTTATGGTCAAAATGTTGGAGACTAAACATTTTGTTAAACACAAAAGGTAACAAAAACGTATTAACTGACAATCACTGATTTATACTTGGTTTTAGCTCCTCCACAAAAATGACTGCTATCCTTTCAGTTAGCTGTCATTTTTATTCATTTAAAAGAGATGAAATATTTGGTGAAAATAAGTTATCATTTTTTCTTAAAAATTAATCCTTAGACATCAAATATAAAAATTCTGAAAGGATGTCACCGCTGGTAAGATTGCACCCAAATGTGCTGTGCTAGATGTGCATGAAAAAGAGAAGAATTTTCTAGCTAAAATCAACAACATTTTAAAGGTTATTGGGTTTTTTTTTTTTTTTTTTTTTAACAAATTCTGGTTAAAAGTAATAAAGAAAACACAATCTAAGCCAGATTCCAGACTTATATGCCAAAGAGAATCTGTGATGGGAGCTAAAGATTGGGGTGATAAGCAACCCTTCAAACCTCAGGGACCAGGAGCCCACTAACGAGGAAAAGAGTTCATTTCCACACAAGTAATCTGGAACATAAACCTGTTTTAATGCCTTTTCAATATAATTACTTCAACCATAAAACTTTTGGGGAAATATATCTATAATAACTACTAATAACCAAGTGGCTCAGAGTAAAAATGAAAGAAATATCCTAATCTCAATTAGATTGAGATATTTGGCCCTTTAATTCATTTTATTATCTGTTAGAAATGACAATCTAGATACATTTAAAGTATTCCACAATCAGTTTAAAGTACACCAGCATATGGCTGATTACATAGAGAAAGAGCCTAAAGAGGCTCATACCCCAGCAGCTGTGAGGGACCAACCTGTTTGAAGCAGAAGGGCATGGTGAGCACACTGACTCCCACGATGCTGTTCACTACGTTCATGATCAGGCCCGAGTTTGACGCAGTCATTTTGACCTGCTAGGTGTGTGGCAGTCTCTTCTTCTTACACAACAGAAAATGCTGAAAAAGGCCCAGGCAGGAGCGCAGTAAAGACCTCCGCGCTGCTTTGGTTCCTTTTATCTCTAATCTTTAGGACTCGTAATGAGCTGCTGCTTTTCTCTCCGTGGATCAGTGACGTGGCGCTCTGAGTGGAAACACAGCGACAGCTCGGTGTAACAGTTCACTTTATCACAATTTTTACCCCCCGACACACTATGAAAAGAGTGCCTACATAAAGATAAACTAATGCACACGACTAATAAAGTTTTAAAGTCGTTAGCAACAAAGCTAACTAGCTAAATAGGTAACTTCTTAGTGTCCTACCTGACTCTCCGCCCTCCTGCCTGCTCTCCTGCTAAGTTATCATCTATAACTCCACATCGTTCATTCGTTTCTTGTCAATAAGAACCGTGTTGGTGCGTTTACTGTAAGCAGAGGGTCGGTTATCACTGGTCCATAACAAATACAACAGAACTGTTTCCCTGAATGCGTTTAAAGGAAGTCATCTCAAAGAGCGGAGTGACGTAGTCCCCGGCTTTAGCACTGGTCCAATACTCGGGCGCCAACTAGTGGTCGAAAAGGGAATGCCACTGATAACCTCACATGGATTCCAAACCCTTCTGCTCATTTGTATTTCATTTAAATGTTTAAACATAGATTTGAATACATTTTGAATGAAGTTTTAAATCAAAAGAAAATGTATTGTTTATGGATAGTGAGATCCAACAAGATATAGTTTTATTACGCAACTTGTCTCTTATTCAATTTTTTCATTTAGTATTAAATAAAGATCTTGTAATGATTAGTTTACTCTGTCTAATCCTCTCACAGTGTTACAGGCCCCCGCCCAACAGATAATTATGATATTAGCCAGAGAAATTATAAAAACTAATCTGAAGACACATTTTAAACTATTGAAGCATTTTTTCTAGCTTCTCTCCTGCCTATTTTCATGGATAGCTCAAAGATGTTTTTAGCAAAGCTTCACTTGGACCCACCTTTAACCAAAGCTTCACCTTTACCTAAGGCCATTGACCACCAAACGCAAGTGATCTCTCTGCTATCATTTTTTAAAGGCTGCATTTTCACACTTTTGATGGCATGTTAAAGTAATGCATACAATTAAATACATAACATAATTTCAATATATATTTCAATATAACCTAATGGGTTAGAGCAGTGTGCTTGTGTTCTGACAAGGTTGCAAGTATCCAGTTCGAATCCCTCTGCCCCTACTCTGGGTTCCTAAGCAAGACCTTTAACCCCCAATTGCTCCTTAGGTGCTGCAAAATTTCAGTACAGTGCTCCCCAAGGGGATGGGTTAAATGCAGAGGTACATTTCTCCAATGTGAGATAAGTAAAGTTCAATCATTATTATTATTTTCATGAGTTTTGTCATTTTCTTTGTATAAAATACATTAGAGACAAATTGCCAACCAGATGGGTTAGTTGATCAGATCAACTGTTTATATATTTTATATATGATTTACGTACTTATTCCACCAAAGCAGCAGCAGCAACATACATGCTGGAATCCGTTTTTTCCAGATGCTTCAGATATTCCTTTCAGGAAAGGGCAACAACAGACTAAAACAGAAAGAGCAAATGTGGACATTTGTCGACATCGACATCCATCAATCATCGATCCCTTTAGATGCTTTCTTCAGGTAGGTCAGACATGAGCTGGTGTTCCAAAAAGCCACGAAGCTTCCTGCATCGAACACACTTGGGAATTCCAAAAAAGTTAGAAAAAACAATTCACTGGACATTATTTCCAAGTTAGAAAACATTTCTCTTCCCATCCAAGAAGCTGTTTCAATTCAAAATGTCAGAAATAACATTGAGTTTGAGGCCTTATAGACTTGGCCAAAAACAAAGCCTTGTTTTGGCTTAGAAAACATGCAAATTGAACTAGACGAACGGGTCCACCCCTTAGGAATGGGCAGTCACTTAGGTTCTTTGTTAGCCTGCATTACCCAATACCTGCTATGTCTCTGAAAGGGGGGTCATTAGAGGGAATTGTTGGCATTGCTGAACAATGGCTTCCTTCACGCCCATCTCAAACCACCTGGCATGAAGGAAGATATCTATTTTACAAGGAAACATAATTTACTTCACGTCCACCTGCTGTGTGGGCCCCACTCCAGTCTATATAAATAACAGTGAGACTGGGCAGTCGGCTCCCAAATCGCTATTTTTCTAAAGCCATTTAAGAACTAGTGAGCCGCAGAACTTTAAGGGCTACACCTATATTCATAAAATCTGGGGTTACAGTACGTAACCAAAGTTCTATTTCCTAAAGGCTTGGCCCTTTAAGGCTCTCGCGGGTGGGTTAAAGGCGAAGAAGGATGTGGTCCATGCCTCACTGGGTCCAACCGAACCACAAGCCTAAGCCACCTGTTCTCACAAGGAACTTAAACTCAGCCTCTAGTGTGCGTTACTGCGCACTCAGAAGCACCATGCGCAGCTGAACCGCCGATAGGGGAAACCTCTCTGTTCAGGGCGGAGGCTGAATGATAGACCTGAGTCTATGAACAGTGGAGATAAACTGAAACAGTAACGAAGAGGCCAAAGGCTCACACAGGTCACACTCTGCGGTCATTAAGCTGGCATCCTCTCTGTCGTGGTGCACTCCACAAAGGAGATGTCTGGGCTGAGGTTCAGATCAACCTGCTGGTGATGATGAAGAGGACAAGTTATGAAAAGTAACTGTCTAACAATGAACAGAGCAGGTGAACAACCCCTGAGAGGAGCAGGAACTGAAAGCAAACAGTTAGCTGCAACATAGCTATATGCCTGCTCGTTTTGGTCTTCATCGTCTCTCGTCACAGAGAGAGTACTGAAGATTTAAAAACAAATAAAAGCAGAAGTCACCAACCGAATAAACCCTCACTGCAGCGTGAGTGAACATAGGCTGAGCGCAGAGATCTGCTCTGGGATCAGGCCTCACCATGTGCAGAGAATTCATGAAGCTGCAGTGAGATTGGCCGATCTCACTGCAAGGCTGTAATCTGCTAGAGTCTTGCCCTCAGAGTAAAGTTTGGGTTTTATTTACAAACAGTTAACAGATTCAAAGTCACACACATTCCCCTCTAAGAGTAATTTCTGGGGCCATCTCCTCTGTCCTTTCCACCTATGACGGCCTCTCTGGGTCGCAGGCTGCCGCGCTGGGAAGTGCTGCTTCTGCTGCCGGGAGGAGGAGGCTGCTGTGGAGCACCTGAACTCTTGCCACTGGTTATGGCAGTCCTGCCAACCACCAGAAGAGCGAGGGACACAGGAGCTGGAGCGAAGCCGCACAAGGTCCCAAACCATCTCAGAATCCGTTGCGTTTTCTGCAGCTTTTCAATTGCTGACTTACATTGAGGGCCGAACAGGGCATCCGGACTGTTTTGGCTCCCCAGCATCTCACTCTTCAGATCTTCCAGGACGGATCTGCAGGTAGAAAAGCGGGCAGAGCAGACAGCTGAGGCCGCACACAAATTGAGGAATGTCTTTAGCAGAGCTGCAGAGCTGGCTCTTCATCTCGGCCAACAGATCTAGCTCTTCCGTCGGAGTGTAGAAGCCAGGAGAGCGATGTTATTCGTGGCCGCAGCACGCTGGAAGGCACACTGGTGGGACCGTTCAGAAAACCCCATGGTTAGCTCATCGTGTTATTTGGGGAGAACAGGCCGCTATCCAGTGATCTGTTCACAAAGCGGAGCGCTGTTCATCTTTGCCCCAAACATGGATGCAAGGCTGGCAGGTGGAAAACCCCGACTGGAGAACCCTTCCACCATGGTTAAAAGTGCGTAGGTGGCCACCGGCACCTTTACCTTGGCGAGCTTAGCTCCTGAACCTGACAGATATGTCATGACAGCAGGGTAGTGAGGCCAGATCGGGTCCGGACGACGGTCATGAACGGAGCTAAACTGTCCCACCAGATCACAGATCTTGACATGGTTTACGGCAAGAGCACAGCCAAACTTTTAAGGTTGGCGGCCCTCTTGGTGATCGCTGGCAGCTCCCATCTGCCCATCTGCTCCTCCGCTGCCACCATGCTCTCTAGCAGAGAAGATGCACTGATGCACACCTCGCCAACAATTATCCAACCAAGGACAAGTTGGTTTTTTTTTTTCAGTCCAGGTACCTGCTGTTGCACCTGATGTATTCTGAGCAGATCTCTTCCAATCAGCATGAGAATATCAGCATCAGATTCAAACTGAGGTACTTCTGATGCTATTCTCTTCAGATCTGTGTTGGCATAGGCTGTCTCAGGTGTAGGGATCTCTTTTCGGTTGTTAGGCAGGCTGTCGCATTCAATCCATGTCAGAAGTTGTCTTGTCCAAAGACTATGACATAACCATGAGCTCTTCTAACGTATGCCTGTGCTGCACCCATTGAAGTTGTAATATTGTATGGTGCCTCTCTCCCATGGATGTCAAACACGGCGAAAAACTCACTTGTAGCCAGAGACATTTTTGTCTGCTCATCTAGACCTACATAAAGCCTCTCACTTTTGTTAGTTTAACTTGAGGGTTAGACATTAAGCAGAGTAATTTTGGAACACGATTTACTGTTCCTGCAAGCACCAAAGACTTTGGTACAGTTTGAGGAGACTTCCTCATTGGTCTTTCCCTCCCGCCGTCCTGTGCATGGAGCGTCTTTTTACTAAAGTAATGTAGTGCTGAGCACTATATTAGCCCAGCTATACAGGTAGCTAAACACTCTGCCCATCGTCTGCCAAAAGGCACCCCATTTTTGTATTTAGCTGGTTTTTAATGAGATAAGTAAGACTGTAACAATCAAAACACAGCATAATTTCTGCAAAGAATATATATAATTATAACTTTGCCATAAACCAGTAAATTATACTATGGTTTACGCATGCAAAAACTTAGATAGCTATTTACAGATTTGAGGAGTTAGCTGAAAGGAAATACAACTAACAGCTTAATGAGCACATGGTCTGTCTGACCCTTTTCAAAAAACAAACAAACTTCTAACTCTCGCCACTAGGGGGAATATAGAACCACATT